ATTCCTCCACCAAGGACTCACTCAGATTATATAAAGGATTTAGAGAGCCAGGGAAAGAGCAAAAGCTGAAGCATCTGGAATACTGTGGTTGAGTCATGCAAAGGAGGTCATTCAAGGAAATCCTTAGAGCCAGGACTGAACCATGAGAAAGCCTGGTACAACTGCAGGGGGTGCCAGTCCTGGCCTACTATGTGAGAACGTGCTCCCAGAGCTATGCAATGAGGCTGTCCTGCCAAGAGCATGTCTCATGATACTGTATCAGTATTTTGTGGGACTATCCTGAACCCATTTGTTCATAATTATTTTATTCCCCAGCAGCAAGTCCCATGGTTATGGGACAAAGTGGGTCTGAGGGTGCAGTGCAGGAAGACCAAGAGTGGAGGATATCTGCTTCTGCTTCCATCCTGCCAAGACTAAGAAAGTAAGAAACATGTCTTCTATGAGTTTAAAAACAGAAATCTCTACTGAGCACTGCCAGCAGTGTTCTAAGCAGTCTTATAGATCTCATTTATTCTTCAACAACCTCCACATTCTATCTGAAGAAATGGAAACACAGGGAAGTTGAATGCGTGGCATAAGCTTACCCAGCTAATAAGATGGAGACCACATTGGAAAGTAAGTTATACTTCAGAACCCTTGCCCTCCACCACTCTAAGGCAGGAGCTCAGAGGAAGGGGTACAGGAGGCCCAGAAAACTCTCTCTCCTACGGGTGAGTCGGCTGAGACCTGAAGGAAAGTAAGGGCTCTCAACCAGACACACTCACCATGTTCTTAGCTGTGAAGCAGGGAACCCCTTCTCCCCGTCCTTAGCCCCATAACCTGTCTCAGGTCCCATACACTTGTCATGAATCAAACAAGATACAAGTGTCAGAAGTGAGTCTGTGTACATCCCAAAGGGTCAACATGTGCCCTGGAATAGACTAGGGACTATAGAAATGGGAGAGGATATGCACCTTTTAATAATGAGAAGCATTACTATGGCTCACATCTATTCATTAGGGACTGTTCGAAGCATTTTACACAGTTTAACTTATTTAATCCCAACATCAAACCTATGAAATCGGTACTATCATGATCTTGATTTTACTATCTAGTGAAACTGTTCATAGGAAATTAGACAATTTACCTAAAGCCACAGGGCCTTGAAAAGCAAGGTTCCAAGGGTTTGAACTCAGGACTCCTGGGCAGCTCCCCAACTCCTTGGCCTTCCTCTTGGGTTCATCTGGATCTCTCTCATCTCAGTCATCCAGAGATGCCCCCAGCCTCCCCAACTATACCTTCTTCTGCTCCCCAGTCCACCAGCTCTCTTTCAGCAGCCCAGTGGTATTGGTGCAAGGAATGTTAATAACAAAGAAACTAACTTAAAACTAAGAGGAACTTCAGGGTTTTCTAAATCTCTTTTTCTTGTCTCTCTTGTCCAGGAGATCAAAGGGCCTCACATTGGGAGAACAAATGCCAAAGAAAAAGGCAAATGAAAGAGGAAAAGTTCACACTTCTGGCTGAGAAACAGATGGTGAAGAGGGCTGGGAGGAGTGCAGGTCAACTGCCCCCCAGACAGTGGGGGAGGGCCTGAGACTCTCCTCAGGAACTTTAACAAGTTTCAACCAGTGCAGAGAATTTTCCCTCCCGGAAGAATCAAGGGGGGGAAAACCCTCTTAGAATTTTTATCAAGGGGGGGAAAACCCTCTTAGAATTTTTATCAAGGGGGGGAAAACCCTCTTAGAATTTTTATTTTCCAAACAGGAGTTTTGTTTTTTGTTTTTGTTTTGAGATCTAGTAAAGGGAGGTGTAGGACTGGAAGGCTTTCAAATTTTGCAGAAAATGCACTTTCAGATCTTCTGATAAAGACAATTCCCCTCACCCCCTCAGGGGCTGTGCAACACCTGGGTATCTAGAGACATGGAGGAGTCTATGAGTGAAGCAGTTTGGCATCTATTTTGGAAAGTTTAAAAATGAAGACCATCAACTTAATTCAAATGCAGCAAAATGTGTTTTTGTTTTACTATCCTCTTCTTTGTCATTTATGATAGGAAAATACACAATGATCTTTTCTTTCTACAAATAAATGTCTTCCATGTTGATCAGTCTGAGGCCTCGGATTCAAAATGGGATTTTAGGTGAGAGCAAGCAAAGTGGGAATGGGATCAAGATCTCTGATTCTACAGAGCTGGAAGGCTCAGGTTTATTGTAGATTATTTTGAGCCTGCCCCTCTGTTAGAAAGGATTATTTGCCCCTCACCGTTCCCTGGGGGAATCTGAGGGATCCTTCTGCTATGGCCAAAATCAAATGGGCTTCCCCTTTCTTCCTGCCCCCTCCGTCCTGCTTCCCCCAGAACCTGTCTGCCCCAGTCCGAGACTCAGCTCCACCATCCTTGTGGTCCTGCTCTAACCACTGCTCCTTCTTCCTCCCATTTTCCTGCCCACTGGTCCAGAGGCTGGAAGATCCGCAAATACCCTGCCCAGAAGGCTTTCCCAGCTTAGACTTCCCCAGCTCCAAGCAAGGGGAGTTTCATTTCCACAGACACTTGCTCTATCCCCTCTGTCAAGGTGACCTCTTTGGGGAAGCCACCCTTGCTGGCAATTTCAATTAAATGCAAAAAAAAAAAAAGCAGTTAATAGATTTTTTAAAGACCAAGTGCAAGACAGCAGCCTCTGGGAAATCGAGGCTTCCTTTTACCACACACTTCCCTTCCTCTCCAGCTGGGCTGTGCAATTATTGATAACATTGTCTCTCCTATAATGGCACCATTTTCATTAGGAAGCAAATGCTCAGTGTTTGTTACGTACACTTCTAGCTCTTTTTGCCTCCTCTCTTCCTTTGAAGGGTCAAAACTTAAATAGATGGGATGGATAAGACCCTCCACTTGGTCCCGCTGCCCCGCCCTGAGCTGCCCTGGCTCCAGGGCATTTGGACTCCCCGATAACCGGAATCAGTAAGCCGGGCCGAGAGCCCGCAGGCCCGTGTCATCTGGACAGCACTGCGGGGCGAGTGAGCGATGGCGGTTTGTTTGCCCGTCGCAGAGCTTCCTGAGCCCTGGCCCCCTGCCTCCGCTGACCAAAGGTTTGACAGTGGGACCGGCCAGGAGACAATAGCTGCCCCCGCGGGCGCGCTGTCGCCTTGTTTGGAAAGCCTAGAGGCGCTTCGAGGTAAAAAGGTCAGCGCGGGATGAGGATTCACCTCGGCCTCCTCCCCTGCCCAGGCCTCCCCCCGGTCTCCCAGCCTGCCCTCCTGCTCGGGCCATTTTCCCCTTCCCCCCGCAGCCCTGCTCCACCCCGCTCACCCTCTCGACGCCCCTCCTGCCCGCCGTCCAGAGCCGGAGAACCAAGGCGTTCACCTTGAGCCCGGGGGATGGCCTTTTGGAGGCAGGCCGGCTGCGGCGGGAGTCCCCCAGCCACTCTGACTTCCGACGTGCTGACCTCCGCGTTGCGGGGAAGGGCGCTGGGTTGCGGGCGGGAGTGGGCGGCGGTAACCTGTGTGCCCATCTGGATTTTGTCAGCGACTCATCCTCTGACTTTCTCTGAGCAAGAACTGGCGAGGAAGGGGAACGATCCACATCCTTCCCCAACCCGCTTCTCTCCTTCAGCAAATATTTACTGAGAGCCCACTCCTTGCCAGTCCTTGCTCTGGGCGTGGAGGAGGCAGTTGTGGAAAGGTTAGAAGGTCCGTTGCCTTCCCCACTTCACCCTCTTTTTACACCCTTTTCTGTTCTTTCCAAACAGATCTTTCTCTCCTTTCCTATCTTCCTCTCAGCGCTCTCCCTGAACTGTTTCCTCCCCACCATCTTTTTCCTCCACCCCCCTCATTCCTCCAATGACTAGAGAACTCACTGCTGTCAGACCTGGAGGCTGAGGTACAGTTCTGCTTCAGACCCATCCAGTAAGCCTTTCTCTTTATCCAGCTCAGCTCTTCCCAGTCCAACCAGCCTTTGCCAGCTCTTTCCCCGCGCTCCCCAGGGCTCATGGAACATGAGGCCTCCTCTACCCTGAGGTGGAAGAGCAGACAGGCGGGAAGAGGGGAAAACACAGACTTTATTGAGGTAGTTGGAGGTACAGAAAGAACCCAGCTTGATCGGGGCTCGGGTTTCCAGAAACTCGGGTGGTGCCTCTACTGTTTCCAAAGCTCAGAGAAATGCTTGCTGCTACTGGGAGCTCTCGCTGCACCTGGGCCTCCCTGGGCTGCCCCTGGGGCAGAGGTGGAGATGGGAGGAGGGTCCTGGGTTCTCCAGGAGGCAATAAATAGGGGGAAAACTAGTGGGGGCGTGCCTGCGCCTTCCTGGTAGAGGCGGGGGTGGGGGTGGACAGGCTTCGCACAAAATTCCAGAAGTCTCCGGAGTACCAAGTTCCATAACACTTTGGTGGCTTAAAGATGAGGTCACTGGTAGGGAGAAGGCAGGTCTCAGAAAACAGCCTCCGGAGGCTGCGTTAGTGCAATATAAATGTGTGGGGAGGGTGTTAATAGGGTTGGGGGGGGTGTTTTTGGTCTGTCACAAGGCAACTGGTGCTGTTATAAGGTCTGGGTGACTGGAGAGATTAAGCACTGCTAATATATCTACACATGAACATCTCCCACACTAAAAAGCATCAAGGCCTTCTCCGGCCTGAGCCTAGGAGGGGGCGTTAAATTAGGGATGCATGAGGAGAGTCCTCAAAGCTCAAAGGCACTGAACTGGACCCACTGAAGTTGGGAAGGGAAAGGATGATCCAGGAGGGCGAGGCTTCTTCCCACCCCTCCCACACGCTGATCCCCAGGTCAAAGATGGAGGGAAACCCTGCCCTCCAGATTTGACAGGTTCCACGTCGGTGGTGCTTCTGGTCCTGTAGGGTCCCCAGCCACCAGCACCCCACCCAGACTGAAGGAAAGTGTTTCCCCACTCTCCCTGTAGACAGCTCTAAACTAGCGCCCCCAGCCTTGGCAAGGATGGCCACAGCAGTAGAGCCGAGGCCTGGGGGGTTAGGGAGAGCAGAGGAGGGGGTGGGCTGCAGCGGCTGGGGGGTTTAGTTCAGGAGGTGACTGAGCTGGGTGAGGCCTCTGGGGAGGTGCACGTCGACTGGTCGGAGGTGTCTCCAGTCGCCTCCTTGGGACAGCCTGGAGGCGCTGGGGGTACCCTGCCTCCCTCCCGCTCACGCTTCTTCTGCTTCATGCGCCGGTTCTGGAACCAAATCTTGACCTGTGTCTCATTGAGCTCCAGGGTGGCAGCAATCTCCACCCTCCGGGCCCGGCTCAGGTACTTGTTGAAGTGGAACTCCTTCTCCAGCTCGGTCAGCTGCCGCGTGGTGAAATTGGTACGGAGGCCACCGGATGTGCCCAGGCCCAGCTCCGAGACCTTCACTAGGGGCAGGGCGGGAAAAGGGCCATGTCAGTTCTGTCACCTTTTTCTCTTTCTCCTTCCCCTCCCTCCTCCCGGGCCAGCCTTGCACCCCTATTTGCCATTCTTTCCAACATCAACTCTCAAAGTTCCCATGGATCACCAGGCACCCCCCAAGGTGATCTCCAAATCCAGAGCAGCCTACTCCACACTTCCATCCTCCTCTCCCTATGTATTCCAGGGCCTGGGCCAGTGCAGGGGGATTGGGAGCATACAGATCAGGAAGTTGGGGGGGGTGAAAGTTTACCCTTAATAGTAACCAGATATTCAGTGGGTAGGGAGACCCCATTTGGCCTGGGACGAATGGAGTACTCTTACCTGACTCTACCAGGGAGGCTCAGAGAGGGGAACTCAGCCCAGGCCCAGAACACCTCGGTACAGAAGCAGCAAAGTAGCTTTGGGTCCCAGAGATGGGGTGGCCACGCCTGAGCCCTACCTGTCTTGGGTGGGTTCCTCTTAACCTTCATCCAGTCAAAGGTCCGGGCTGTGGGCGTGCTGGGTTCAGACGGGCAGGGAGATTCCTTTTCCTCTGAGAGGAGATCCGCATAAGCCGGTGCAAAGCTCGCTGTCTGCTCATTCCCATAAGGGGACTGCGGCGGAGCGTATGGCCCAGGTCCTTCTCCACCAGTTCCATAGCCGTCGGACAAGCCGCCTAGCTGGGCCCCATAGCTCAAAGGATGAAAATAGCCTCCATCTCCTTCTGGTTGGCCCAGAGGGTAGTACTGAGAAGGCCCATAGCTGGGGCTGCAGGCAGCCGGGGCATAGCCAGAGGTGGCGGAGCTGGGGAAAGGCACCCCGAGCCCCGAAGGTGGCTGCTGGGGGGGATAGCCTGAGTTCTGCTGGAGCACGGGGCTGGGCAGCCCCCCACCATAGCGGGTCTCAACTGCGTAGCTGTCAACAGCCGGAGCAGAGCTGGGGGGGAAGGAGGTGGGGGCGCTGGGGGCGCTGTAGGCGCTGGGTCCCCGGTTACAGAGTGGGTACTCTAAGAAGGAGTTCATCCTATTATAGTCCATGCGTGGAGGCCGCAGGAGGGTCGGCCCGTTTGGGGGAGACACCCTCTTGCCCTACAACCTTTTGGCAGTATGTCACAGCGCTGAAGCTTGCATCCATGGCCTGGCCCAGCTCGTCGGGGGCCAGGGCTCCCCCAGGAAGAGGGTAGGGAGTGGGGGGTGGGGAGCACATGTGATGTCTCCCAGGCCAATGGGAGCAGTGGGCCAGAGTTTGGCAGCCCCAGAGCCCATCCATCACCCCCCAATCATTAGCATGACAAAGACACTTCAATCACCCACAGCCCATCCATCTGAGAGTGACGTGGAAGCGTCAAAAACATCTTTCTTCAAAGACTTTTGGAAAGAAGGGACCAGAGGGAGAGGGGGGAAAGTTAGAGGAATATTCAAGACTTTCCTCATCTCCCAACCCCCATGGCCTTCAATAGGCTCCTGGGTTATTAGATTTGGACAAATTCAACCCAGCTGCCCCTCACTCTTCGCCCAAAGGAGCCTTCCCCCCAAGGCTGGAGACGGGAGGTGGGAACTCCAGTCTCCTTACTCTGCCCAGGACTCCCATTCCAAGTTTCTTTCTCCCAATTCGTCTTGGGGTGATGGGCTGGGACAGCTGGGTGAAGTATGTTATCCTGGGCCAAATGGATGACTGTGGAGGAGGTGTGAAACATCTAAGGGCTTGAGGCAGGGTCTGGAATCTAGAGGAGAATCATTAAGTGATGGGTGGGAAACTGGCATTCAGGGACCAAGACAGGACGACAGAAATGTGGAGAAGAGGATGAGAAACGCCCCGTTCGTCCCTCCATCTCTCCACATAAACGCTCCCTCCTCGTTCACACGTCCATTTCTCTCCCTCAGCCTCACTTTGTATTCTTTCTGTCTCAATCCATCTCTCCCTTCGTCCATCTCTCTCCATATTTATATTCATTCCCCGCCCATCCATCACCTCGTCTCTCTGGATGGATTTATCCTCTCTCTGGCCACCCGCAGCTGCAGCCTGCTTGCTGGCTCAGGCCCAGGTAACTCCCCGCGTCTCTCCAGAGAGCCGCAGTGGGCACAGAGCTAGGCGAAGGGGAGGGGGGTTAGGGCCTCTTTCCGAAGCGTTTAAAACTAACGGATTCTGCCTTCTTCTAGAATCCACCCTTCTCTCACCACCCGCCTCTCTTTCCCCCACCCCCAAAACACCCAAGCCTCAAATTCAAAAAATCAGTGCCAATTCCATCTTAAAGATTACTCAAAATTTCCATGAACTTTCTAGACTAGATCAAGGGAGTTTGCTCAGGGAATGAGAAAATCAGTGTGGAGGTCCTGGGGCCCAGGAGCACAGTCTCACCCTTTCTGCTGTGTGTCTCTTGGGCTAGGGTTGGGGGAGGGGAAGGGAATAGGAAGTGCTGCCTTCACTCTTCAGACTGGGATGGGACTGGAAGAGAAGCTTTTAGGTGGACCCCATGGATTCTCCTCCTCCAGACACTGAGGACAAGAGCTTGGTGCAATCCAACACCCACACTCATTTGTAACCTGTCAGGGTGTCTGACTGCCCAGAGGCCTGGGGCCGGGGCTAGGGCAAGTCCAGGAGGGCGAGAGTTCAGGGAGGGACCTTTGTAAACAGTTGAGCTCAGGAGGGGAAGGGAAGCAGATGGGACTGGTCAGAGAGGACCCCAGAAACTTCTCAGGTTTCTCCACCCCAAAGAGGGCAGGGCAAGTACTCATCCCTCTGCAGGAACCCCAAAGTTGTCTCTCTGACTCTGTGTCTCTCCATCTTTCTGTTTCCCGTTGCCCTTCATTTTGCCTGTCCCTAATAGTCACCTCTCCTGCTTTCTGTCTTCATCACCAGAATCTCACTGCCTCTCTCTGCTCTTAATAACTGTGAGCCTCACTTAGGCCACAACTATGAAAGAGCTCAAAGCATTTCACAGGACCCCGGCCCCTCTCCCTCCTCACATGTAGCCTGCTTCAGACCAGGACAAGTTGGGGGGAGGGGGACTAGCTGGTAACCTCTTAAAGAGAGATACAATGGGGGAGGGTGAGAGAATGTTCACTGCCAAAGGGAGGAGGGCAGACAAAGGGAAGGAGAATGGAGATGGGGGCAGGGGAGGCCGAAGAGGGATTGAAGAGCAAAGGCACATTGAGGTAAGAGCAAGTGTGTTTCTTTCTATCCTCCTTTAGGTTTGTAGATGCTCCCAATTTTTCCCTACCACTTTAAGATGCTCTCCACAGAGGCCCTTTGGAGAAGAACTGTGTAGGGAGCTAGGGTTTCTCTTCTGACCCTAAATATGAGCTAGGCCTACATCTGACTTGGCCATCCAGCTCCTGAAAAACTGGAGACTTCTTCACTATACACCTTTCCCTCAACCCAGGGAGCACCTACTCACCTCATTCCTTGCCCTCTTAAATAAGGGGATACTTTGACGTCTAAAGGAGGAAGTAAAACCCACATCAGTGTAATAGAAGAACAGAAGTCTGTCTGGGAGTTGGGGAAATGCAGTACCCCGGGGAACAGCTGAAGTCACCAGTCTACCCTTAGCAGCATGAGAAGAAAAGGGCAGGCAGAGCGCCCTGAGCTGTATTGTCAGTTGCAGCGACTGCTTTGGCCTCAGCTCCCCGTGTTTACTATCATCCCAACTCACCACTGTTGTCTCCCTCCCTTCCCTTGTTATAACAGAAAGATTAAACCTTCCCAAAATTTCTGCTGGCCCTCCCAGCTCCAGCAGAAAGGACTGGGAGAAAAAGCATCTTGGCTTCCTAGGTCCCCAAGTCTCTTCCTCCTCAGAGGCTTCACCGGCCTCTGGCCTGAAGAGAAAGTCTATGGAGCCTGGATTCCTTGCTAAAACCACAGCTGAGGGCAAAACAAAACAAATAAGGAGATATGATCCACATCCAGAATAACCCTTGGGCTTTAGGATTTTCTAGTTGCCCAAAATTTAAATTCACCAGAGAGGGGCTGGGTGGACACAACACCTAAGTGAAAACAAGTTTATTTCCTCTTTTCTATAATCTGCTTAGACATAGAGGAGAGCAAGGAGAAGGTAGGCATGTAAAGAACTGAAATTATCTTTGAGGGGTGCTAGTCCTTATCACACAGAATACAGGCAGGGAACCATTCTAATCAGAATGGGGATATGTTTTAGAAGTTTGCACCTGATTCTGGCATTTTCTGTGGAGGAAACTGCTTTAGCTTGGGGTTCCGAATACTTCTTTCATTAGGCTCTTAAGTGTCTCTCTACCTGCTCTCCCCAGCCCAGATTTTGGAGATGAAGCCCAAGATTAAAGATTGGAACTAAGAATTCAAAGGATTTTCAGGGTCATAATTTTTTTTCTCTACAAGGGATGGTTTCTTGCTGTTTGTAGGGAGGATGGAATCGGAATTCAATGCTGTTCCTTTTAATGCAACCTAATTAAACTGTCACAAATCTGGTTGAGAACCATAAACTTTGGGAAGTGCAAATTGTAGTGGGAAGTCTGCTGGCTTTGGTGCCAGAATTCTTGGGTTCAAATCCTTGCTTGGCCATTTCTTAGCATAATGACCCTGGACAAGTTTTTTGGTTTCTCTGAGTCTCAGCTTCAGAGAAGTATGGGTTTAATTCTACTTACTTCACTGCATTGTTAGTAGAATTAAAGTGAACAAGAAAATATAAACTACAGATAACCCTATAAATGTATGATATTAACATTACATGCACATTCTGAAATACTGTGAGTCAGTCTTCTGTTTTTTAATATAACTAGCGTACTAAAGTATGGAAATACATGATAGGCAAATAGCATATGTGCTATATTTTCATGTAACACATTGCCATATTTATATAATATATATTTTATATATGCAAATTTCACTGAGAATTCAGAAGGTTGGCTCTGTTTTTGGTGGAGGATTTTCTTCTAAGATGGAGAGTTTTTTTGAAAACTAAAGCCTGATATTTTACGATCTATTAAAAAAAAAGAAATGACTTAAATGCAGCAGAAAGGTTTGAATTTAGATATTAGCAAGAACTTCCCGATTTTCTGAATATTTGGGAAACATTTTCTAGGAAGGATGTTGTCTCTCCTTTCTTGAATGATTAAGCTTAGAAACTGTCCTTCCTGAGGGTAGGGGTTGCATATGACTTCTGTGATCTAGACAGATCAACAGATGTCACCTTTCATCTGGAGTGAAAGGTGAGTCAGAGTTGGGGTCTTTCTTGAAGGAAAGATTAGAGCAACAGAAGAACTGAAATAATTTTCTACTTCATTGAGTTTATCCAACCATGGTAGTTGTGGCCAAAATATTCACTTTGGAAACCCTATCAAAGACTGAACAAGCTGCATTTGTATCTAAATGTGACTTTTCTGTGGCAGTTGGGAATAAAAGATGGTTTTAGGAGGGCTCTCTCACTGTTAACTCTCTCCTCAGAGGAGGAATCAGTGTGTTAGGTCTCCTCAGGCACTAAATATCTACCTCACCACTGAGTGAGGAGAGAGGGATGGGGGACAGGAGGGTGGAGATGGGCTGGACAGGTCAATGGAGAATTTGGGCCACACCAGCCGGAGCAGGTAGAGGGAATGATGTGAGGCCTGAAAGGCCACTCAGTGCAAACTGAGGACATGTATCTGACTAAAACACATTTCATGATGTACAGTGAGGCCACTGAGTGCTTGCCAGAGACTTGGGAGAAGGTAGGCAGGGGAATTCAGCAAGGCTGTTTGGGAAAATCCAGAATTTGTACCTATGCTCTGATGCCCCAGCAACCAGATAAAACCTGATGGGCAGGGAGGGGACTTTTAAAGACTAGCACACCACATCAAAGAAGAAGTTTGGTGCCTCTGTCTGTGTAAAATGTCCTACTCTTTTTCAAACAAGAGTAAACATAACCAAATGTTGGAGAAGGTGGCAAAGGATGAAAGCCAGAGAAAACTTGGCTAGGACACTTCTTAATACTCATATTTATTGAATACCTGGCACAGAGCATTGCACCCAGTTACATGTTTGTTGGGGTATTTTTCTCCCCCCTCATTTGCTGGTGTAAAGATAAAATTTAAATTTGTTAAGATGGCTCTACAGGCTACTTGGGAGGTGGGTTATTGTCAAACATTAGGAGTCACCACCTCCATTGAAAATCACATGACACCAGCTACAATAAATATTGAATGCATTGTTTGTGGAGACTAATAAATATACATGGGGCATATATTGATGCAGAGGACATCAGGCATTTAGTTCTTCCACTTATTGCACAGATGGAGAAACTGAGGCCTGCAAAGGGGAAGGTCCTTGCCCAGGCATAAGTTAATTTTTTTTAAATGACTCACGGTTATCATTATTACAAATAACTCCTGAATCTAATGGTCCTTTGCTTTCACCATAATATTAATGAGCCATTTTTCTTAAAAGAAAAAAAAAAAGACTCACAAAGAGCAGGGCAGACTGACTGGCCACTTTCGGGATTGCCCAGAAACCTTCCCATTCCAACCACAGCCAGTTTCTAAGCCACTCATAGCTGGTCCTGACCTAAGAGGAGCCCTGCCCAGTCAAGGTGGGATAAGTGACTACAGCTGCCTGGCACTGCCCTCTAACCTGCTCTTCCTCTTCTACTTCTCCATAACCAGCCAGGAAAACACAGGCTAATGAGGAGGACCCCAGAGATGAAACAAGGGAAGGGACATCCTCAATCCCAAACCTTTTTTGAACCCCAAATTGTCAGGCACTCTTCAGACTTTGGAATTGAGAGGGGATATTGAAAACAGAAGTATTTCCTTATGGAAATGCATTGCCTCTTTGTTCTGCTGTGGTGGCATCAAAGATGGGGAGTTTTGTGAATAGGGGAAAGGAGAGAGAGAAAGGCTTGTGTGTTGCCCATAAAAAGAGTTCCAACTTCTCTCTAATGGTCAACCAATGGATATGCTGGACTTCTGGGTTCCCTGGATTGGTTGCTTCTCACCCCCAGGATACATAAAGTACCTAGGTCTGAACAGGTAGACTGAAATTTTGTCTGGACCCTCCTGGTTACCCACTCACTTTGGCAGGGAGGAATCAGGATTAATGCAGCCTCAAACAGAAGCTGAGATTTCCTGTCCTTTGGGCCACTGGTTTGGCAGGGGGTTGAGGGGGGGCGTGTTGGCAGGCAATGTTCAGGGAAAGTGGATAAAAAATTCTTAAGCTTGGAAGGCAGGAAGCAAGATGGCACTATGATCTAGAGGTACTTCTCACACTTTAATGTGCATTTAAATTACCTGGGGATCTGCTAAATTGAGATTTGATCCAGTAGGTTTGGAGGTCCTAAGATTCTGCATTTCTAACTAGCTAACAGGTAGTACTCATGCTGCTGGTCTGTGGAGCAGCAAGGCTCTTAGAGAACTGGAGCCTCAGAGGCCCCAGAATACTGCAGATCCAGCCCTAATCCCAGGGTGTGAATTCTCTCCAGCAGAGCAGATCTTGCATTTTTGGCATTGATGAAGGGTGCTATCCTTTTGGCCAAAGAAAGCTAGAAGGTGGGCAATTAGCTAAATCCTTCTTGTATTCTTGATCTTTCTAACAACCTGCTACAGTGGAAAGAGAATTTTTAATTAAACCAAATTATCCAGTTTGGCCATCCATAGAATCAAAGCCCCAGCTGAAATGTCTGTTTCATTTTGCTGGTGTAGAGATGGCTGTGTGCTGTGATTTTTAAGATGGTAAGCATTGCCTATGGGCATATTTTATGGAGAAATAAACACATCGTCCAATGAGATGTATAGTGTGGTTTTAATATATTGTATTTTCACTTATTTATGGGGAAAATAAATACACAAGCCAATAAGCTGTGTATTATTACTTTAATATATTGAATTTATTTCATACCTATATATTTTATGAGGGAAAATAAACTAATAAGATACACAATATTATTATAACAACACATCTAATTGTTCTATATTAATTTATTTATGAAAGAAATAAGTGCAATTTAACATGACATAAGATTATTTAATGCAGGAGATGAATTCTATATTAAGACAGTTTAAGGGATTAAATTCCAGCTGAACAAGATGCACTTACTTCCCACACTGAGGGGTCCAATAAAAAAAGATGCGAGTGCCTGTCTAGTCCTATATGTCATGACCTATGTTGGCTGCGGGCTTTTCCTGACAGGTGTTGCCTCTTGGTGCCTGGTACTCCAAATCCCCGTCCTGCTGGTCCAGGGGAAAGTCTGGGACACCCAGAAAATAAACTGCTTTCAGAGCACAGCAGCATCTGTGGGGAGGTATTCCTGCGGTGTCTGTTTCTGAGCCGGAGAAATATTAAATAAACCTAAGGAGGATGGATGGCTTTCCAGGGCCCTTTAAATCTCCACGTTCCCCGGAATAAACCAGGAGGCAGATGCGGGAGATCGATCTCTGCTTCCCTTACCGAGTTTGCAAGTGGCCGAACAGGGTTCAGTGCGGGATAGGAGATAAGTGTTGAGATGGCAAATGAAGTTGTGGGCAAAGACAAGTTGGGTGTGCATTTGGAGAAAGCTGTGACCAGGCTTCAAGTCCCAGAGGGAAGGATCAAAAAATCAGGCTCTGGAGAGGCAGACCCTCGTCTGCACTCCCGCCATTCACCCCTCCCTTCCCACCCCAAGCGGTCTCAGCGGCCGTTGGGCTCATTTCTAAAATAAAACAAACACTGAAATGAGGCTCCCCAGCTCCCTTCCTTCGCCGGCGCCAGGAAGATCCGGCGAGGAGGAGGGTGCGGGGCCGGATCCCTGGGCCTGCTGGCGCGCCACAGGGGCTGTCATGGCGGCCGCAGCCACAGCATTGCACTCCCGCGGCCCGGCCCCAGCGCCATTTTGAGTATCTTCCTTGCTTCCCTGTCTCCCTCCCGCTCTCCTCGCTCCTCCTTCCGTCCCTGCAGGCCCAGCGCCTCCGACGCTGCCCCGGCCTCCCTGGATTTGCCGCCCGTCACTCCTCGGATGCTCTCCCCACCCAGGAGCCCTAGAGTGACTGCGGCCACCGAAGAGCCCTAGTGGCCGGCCCGCTGGATTGTCCACGCGGCCTGGTTTCTCGCTCGCTTAGCGCCCGAGAAAGCCCCGGCCCGCACTTCACTCCTGGGCGGGCCCGGCCCAGGTCCCCGGGCTTCGCCTTTCTCCCACCCTTAGGGCACTGAAGCGAGAGGTCTGGGGAAGCCTAGGGCCCTCCCAAGTCGACAAAACCTCAGCGTCCCGCGCGTAACTCGGAGGTGTGGGCCCAGGCCGCTCCCCGCACCGCCCGCCTTTCCATGCGAAAGGCCCGGGAAGCACCCCCGCAGGGTCAAAGGCCGTCTGGTAGCAGGTGGCACGCTGACGGAGCTTCCAGCAAACCCCCCAACTCTTCTCGGAGCTGCGGGCAGAGAAGCTGCGGGCAGAGAAGCGGCGGTCAAGTCGGGCCACCTTTGCACCACCCGGACTTAACCGGCCCAGGGCCAGACCAACCTGGCGCGGGTCCTGAGTGCAGGCGGGCCTAGGGGATGTGGGGAAAGGGGCTGGGTCCCAACACAAACACTTTGTCGTATTATAAAGACATTTATTTAATCTATGAAAATAATATACAATAAATACTCTCCCCTTTTCCTATTATTAAAGAGTTTTAATAAATAAGCTACGTTCTAAAACTTAAAAAAAAGAGGAAAATAGGTTCCTCTAGTTCATTTTTAAGAAAGTCCTCTTAGAGTTTAATTATTCCTGAGATTTCGTTGGAAGGAGTCTACCAAACGGAATTTTTCTGTGTGACTTTTAAAAGACGCCCGAGCGCCTAATGTTTTAGAAGAAGAAATGAAGTGGATTAAACGCTAGTTCAATAATACCTGAATTTTAGCAAAACATATAAAGAAGTCTAAACGACTGGGTGGGAGGAGGTTCGGGTTTTCCAGCTGAGAGCTGAGTGGGGTGGGAGCCGAAAGGGCCGGGAGGGGAACCGGTTTAAGGGAACTGCAGGTCGATGGCACAGAGGGTGCTGGTGAACAAGTTCAGCTCTTCCTCGGAAAAAGGAACTGGGCTGTCGAGCGAGCCCTGCAGGCTGGGGGAGAGGCCCCCTGACAGCTGGAGACAGGAGTCGGCTGGGAAGAAGTTGAGGTCTGGCAGGAAAGGGGAATCCTGCCGCTCCGGGAAGGCGTCTTCCGGCAACCGCTCGGGTTCCGGCCGGCAGGCCCCGCGTAGGGCACAGCTCGGGCTCGGCGCACCCGCGCCCTCCCCGCAAGCAGTCAAAGGCCGGGGGCCCTGGGTACGCGCGGGCCCCGCCGCCACCTCGGGCTGGTGAGGGCAGGCTTCCCGCACTGCCCGCGAGGCGGAGCCGCGGCCGGGGCTGGCCACGAGCTCCTCGGCGGGCTCGCCCATGTCCTCCGGAGCGCCTGGGCAGGCTGACTCCCCGTCCGGCGGCTCTCGGTGCTGCGTCTGCCGTTTGTGCTTCATGCGCCGGTTCTGGAACCACACTTTGACCTGCCTCTCGGTGAGGTCTAGCAAGGCAGCGATCTCGACGCGGCGCGGCCGACACAGGTACTTGTTAAAGTGGAATTCCTTCTCCAGCTCCAGCAGCTGCGTGTTGGTGTAAGCAGTGCGCAGCCTGCGCGCCCCGCCGCCCGCGGCCTCCGGCGGTCCTGGGCCATCTGCAGGGAAAGCAGGCTGGGGCGTCAAAGCGGGCTGTATCCTCACCCAGCCTCAGTTCAGCTGAAATAAAATCTACCCCATCCGCTGGAAACAGTATCCAAGTACCCACCCATCCCCTCCGCCTACCAAAGCTGCTGGTTCTCACTGCCTTTCCGTTCTTTTCCTGTGTCCCCCTTTCTCCGGCAGACCCGGCCCAGGGCGGGCAAAGCATTCAGAGAGCCGCCCACGGGCACGCAAGGGGTAGGAGGCGCTGTCTTTCGCCCCCAGAACCTCAGAGTCCCCACCGCCGAGTCCTCGGAATGGACCCCTCAATTCGTCACATTCCAATTCAACCCTTTCATAAAGAAAGGTTGTTCCTCACCTCTTCCTCCTTATCTCCCTAGCTCTCAAATTCCCCTCCTCTTAGAGCTGGAGGAAATAGGACTGAATCTTTTCCTCTCCCCAGATTCAACCCCAGCAATAACACGTTCATTCCTCCACATAGATAAAGGTAAAAATCTCAATCCAATACTTTTCTTTTAAAGAGAAAAAAGTCTCCAACCACTTCCAAAACCTGCCGTATTGGGGCCGGGAGTGTGTGGAATGCTGGCAGCGGCCAGGCCTGAACCCCCGCAGTATATTCTGCTTCCTTGTCCCTCGACTCGACGGGGGGTAAGAAACCCCAAAAGGTTCACCACCCTTTCTACCTCCCTATCCTTCTTTCTCCCCCTCTCTTCTAGCTGCCTGTACCCTCTACCTCACCACTACTCCGCTTACCGACCTGCGGGCGATCCGACCCCGGAGGCCGGGATGGAGGAGGCAACCGGAGGAGACGTGGAGGACTGGCCGGGTTTCTTGGCGGATTTCTTCTCTTTCATCCAGGGGAACTCGGGGACCAGCGGGGTGACGGGGAGCGACGGCGGCGGCAGAACGGGCCCATCTTCGGCTTGCTTTTGGCTCCCGGGTCTCTGAAGGGTGGAGGCGCCGGGCTGGAGGCTGGGGAAGGTTTGCTCGAAAGGAGGAGGAGGAATTAATGTCGACTCCTTGATTGATGAAGTTTGAAATGTCTCCAAGACAGCGGGGAAGGAAGTCAGACACTCGGCAAGCGACGGCTGGCTGTTTATAAACCCAATCTCCCTCTCAAATTCAAAATTCATGGCTTTCAATGGTGGGGGAGGGGGTCTGCTGGGGGGGGCGTCAGGAGGGAGGATCGGAAGGGACCCCCCCTCCTGCCCCCCCCAGGTTTATGTAATGGAGCGATTTTGGGAGGGGGATATTTTGCACGCTCTCTTTTTTTTTAAATTTTGGGCCTTTATAATTGTATATTGCTGATAAATAGACGCGTATGGGGACTCTCTCTATTAAACCCAGGACTCTGGCGAAATTGCAGGGAATTCATGGTCACGGGACCGGCCTCGGCCAATCGCTCGTCTGGGCTTGGTGGAAAACAGAGCATTATTTGCTTTAATTGATTCAAAAACTCTAGAGGACCACGACCTGGACACCATGAGCCCCCCAAGTCCGACACTCCCTCTCCCCAATGCCTCCTTTTCTCCAGAGAAGCTAAAGGAACCCTCCTCTCATCTTCAGAGGATGAGAGGTTCTGGAAGCCTGGGAAACAAGAGAATCTAAGGGAGAAATCATCCTCTTTTCTAAATATTTTTAACAGAGTAAATTAATGCTTTCTCAAGGCCAGCAGCACTCCACCTCCACCACCACCCCCTCCAAAAAAAAGGAAAACTCATTGAGGATCCATGTGGGAGGAAGAGGTAGTAGAGAGGCTTCCACCCTTTGGGAAAGGTCAGCATTAAGGTGAAATAAGGAAGAAAATAGATTTACAACCACCAGCACCACTGTCCCCAATGCACCCATCCCACCCCCCACCCCAAAAACAAGAGATAAAGCTTGGAAAATCATCAGGCACTCCCAGGCTGACACAGAGGAGTGAGATGGGTGGTGAGGGGCCCTTTTGGGCATCTGGCCACCATAGCTGTATGGCCCCAGCTCCCTTCTCTGCCCAGTGTTTGCAGCATTGTCCCTGCCCCTGTGTCCGTCCACCTGCCTTCACCTGCAGGCATCTGCACACCTACCTCCCTGATACCCTGAAAACAGCAGGGCCTAAGATGCACAAGCAGCCACTCAAGCCTCAAATCTGTATCTGCAGCTATATCCAGGGACATAAATGTGAACCGATATAGCCACTGATTTAACTTAGGGCACTGTCAAAGCCCAGGTCAATGTATGAGGGTGGAGGAGGAAGAGAAGCCCCCTGACAGAGACTTCCTCCTATTTTTGGCACTGTACTAGGTTTTTACTTATTCATTTAGTTATTTAGTTATTTTATCCCTGGCAAAAAGGAATCTCCTTAACATGGAGGAGATGGAAATAATGACCACTGAAATGATACTCTATTTCTGGCCCCTGGGGAAAATTTGCTTTTTTGTTTTTTATTTATTTTGAGGGGATGAAGATAGGGAACTTTAGGCAATGCGGTAATTTACTGGAGAGAAGGGTCACAAGACTCTGGGCCCCAAGCAATTGGTGGGAAATAGATCTCAAAGCAGAAAATGCAAAGTCGATCTGGGGGAAGATTTTTAAATAAGTGAGTCAGAGGGACTGAGATGAGATGAGGCAATCAATCTTACCCCCTGACAGCTCCCTCCGATGGCATCAAAGAATTTGGCTCTTTGGTAAAGCAGAGGGAACAGCCGAAATTCCACATCCCTTTTAAAGGTCTGGGGGTGGGGGTGTTAGCAAAAGAGAAAGGTGATTCTGGGAGAGCAGGGAAACAGATGAGAAATGGGGACAGAGGGAAGGGCACTGAGTTGGGTGGAAAGTTTGTCTGGCGAACTCCCACGCTCTGGCCTCCCCTCCCCCTCCTGGCTCTGCAGCCCAGCAAGGCAGAGAAGGCTGGTTAGCAAAGAAATGGCAACTCAGCCTGGAGCTGGAACTAGAAACTTTCTGTCAGTGTAACAACCGCGTGGGTGGTGGTGAGTATTCATTCCCATGGGTGGCGGTGAGTATTTTAAAAGAAAGAGAAGTCCTGAGAAGGGTGGGATGGAGGAGAGCCAGGATAGAGAAAGGGGAGCTGGAGGTGGGGACTGTACGGACAGGGGTGGCCAGTCTCTGGAGGGCTCAGAGCAGAGCGAGCTGCTCTGAACTGGGAGAACGGTCCAGAGACAACTGTGTCCAACTCTGCTCGGAAGAGTGCAATTTTTGCTATTTGGAGGTCTGGATGGGAGTGGGGGTAGGGGGTGGGCACAAAAGAATCCGAATATTGGTTGTCTGGAAGTTGTGCAGTGAGGGCCTGAGAGCATGGTCTCCCTCCAGCCACCCCGTTGGGAAACCTGGAAGTTTTTTTACAGCCTCTCCAGCTGGCTGCAGGGTCTAGCGTTTCTCTCAGCACCAACTCTGGCCAGGCCTGTCCCTGCAGTAAATACAGCCCTCTCTAACCCTGCTGACAGATTTTATGGCCAGATTAGAGAACAGAAGAAAACTTGGGTGTTAAAAGGGGCTAAGAGAGTCCTCCTTCCCAGACACACCGCTTCCCCACCCCCCTGTTGTTTTGTGAACCTTAGAGCACAGATATTTTCCCCAGAACCTTGGCTGCTTAGCAAGCGCCTGGAATCTTGCAGAGAGAAGGGTAGGGGACATCAAGCCAAGTCGGCCCTTATTTTTCTTGTTTGCAATTCCAGCTTCAAGCTAAACCTCTGATTTTCAAACTCCAGCTAAATTCTGTCTCTTAGCCTGCCTCTCTCCTGCTAGATAATCAATCCATTCCACCCCAAGAGCCAAACATGGCCTTCATCTAGTTACATCATTCAGAAAATGTTATTCAGGGAAGAGGAAGAGAGAGAGGAAGACAGAAAGAAAAACCCTTGAGCGTTATTTGATCCCAATCAAACTTTGCACGCTCTTATGCCTTTAAATTATAGCCTGACCCAATGCTAAATTGCTTGCTGCTTGGATGAGCTGAGCCCAGTTAAAATCCTACTTGGTGGTGGAGGTTGTGGTGGAGAGGGTATAGAATTCAGGTTGCTTTCTTATTGTTATTTATTGTTGCATAAAGACTGTAATTATTAACCTTGGACTGCCAGGATGCAACATAAAAATGAAAATCAGCCCTCGCTTTAAGGCTGAGAGCCTGGAACGATTCTCACTGACACTCTCCCACCCTCCCCCATCACTACCACCAAATATATGCTCCTAATTAAGCAGTGCGGGTGCTTGGCTTACAATTAGAATTATGCAACTCTTCAGCAAGCAGCCATCGCTTCTCTTTCAACGAATTAGCTCCATATTTCAGCTGCCCTGTCTCCTCGCTCTTATCGGCTGCACCAACTTGCTGGTGACATTTCATCTTTGACAGATCCTCTCTATCCTCACTCCAATGTGATAAAACTTTTATGGAACCACGACTAAGAAATGAAGTTTTCCGAAGGATCATGGAAACGGAACGGCACATTAGCCTGGGGACCATTTTATTTATGCTTGGATCCGACAGCTTCTCCCACCCTTCTCTTCCCTTTCCCTGGCAGGGGAAATCAAATGCACCTCCTCGCTCTCCACCCCAAGCTTTATTTAGTGATTCAATTTCACTTTAGTTTTAAGGTTTGACCTGAAAAGTCTAGGCCTCAGATTTTTTTTTTTAGATTAATCATTTTCCTTTGTTTTCATTTTAGACCCAATGGTGGTTGGGCTTCGGGTCACGTGACGACTTCTTTGTAGCTCCGGAAGAGAACTGTGAAGTTTAGGTTGCATGGAAGCAGCAGTAATCGGCCAGATTTTTGTTGTTGTTATTGGGGTGGGGGTGGGGGTGAGGGGAAAGAGCTGGGAAGTTGTAGCCAAAGGAGCAAGAAGACAGAAGGTCAATGAATGAGAAAAACTGAGAGGCTAAGAGGCCAAACAGAAAGACCTAGAGAGCGTACCCACGAGTCTCCCTTCTCCCCAACTTGTTAGTTAAATCTTTGCCAAAGTAGTTGACAGAATGTTCCAGATTCATGAGAAAACTATATAAACTTGAGACCCAGCAAGGGGAAGTAGGTGGTCTGAGCAGTGGACAAAAAGGCCAGGATAGGGTCTTCAATGTCCATCTCCCCTTGGGAGAAATTTGGCAGTCAGCAGCCTTGCTCTGCTATCTAAATTGGACTACCAGAACAAGATAAAATTGATAAAAGAAAGTTTATTCAAGAATTGTTTGACAGACAACCCTTTTAATTAAGGAAAAAAGTAACTACAGAAGAACAAAAAGTTCCAAGAGGGAATAAACTCTAATTCTACAAATTCAGGACTATACAGTGACAGCTGAGTTCATGCCTTTCAAAACTAATTACAATTGCTCATAAGTACGAGTTTAACATAAATCTACAGCTCTTTTCTAGAGTACAATAATAACTAAAATAGCTGGTTTTACATGACAGGAAACACAATGTCCTTTATAACAAGTAAATACTAAAAAAAAGTACATTTTTTTCCTTTTTTTTCCCTTATATAAATACATAATGTAGGGGGATAAATAATACAAAAAAGAAAATACTTTAACAGGCTATAACCAATAAATATATATGAAAATGTTCACTAGAACACACACTTTTTGAGCAATGCTGGACTCCTGCAGGCCCAGACATCTCTCACAGTTGTTTTTATACCCATTAAAATGTAAACTCTAAGTGCAACAAAAGTGTCCTGTCAGGGGGTTGAGCAAGGCGCACAAACCCAGCTGCAGCCCCTGCCTGGGACAGACAGTTTGTTAAAATATACCCTGTTTTCACGTTAAGTCAAAAGAGCAACAGAAGAAAAGAAAAGTGTAGAACCTCGAGTAGCCGATTGCTTTCTGTGGAGAGAGGGGGATGGACCTGGAGCAGAGATGGGAGGCAGCAGAATGAGCAAAACTTCAGTCCTGACAACTTGCCTGCCCTGGACTCCCAGATGTTCCATAAAAGAAAAAAATATATATATTTTTTCAGGTCCTGAAAATATATATATATTTCAGGAGAGATCCTGACTTTCAGGGTCTCTCACCATCCCTGAGCCCTCTGAAAAATGTAAAAGAGGGGGGCGGGGAATAGATACTACTGTCCTAGAGCAGAAAAATATGGGGCCAGAAATGAAGGAAGTGCCCAATAAACCTCAAGTAGATGGGAGGAAATCTGCAGCTTCAGGGAAGCGGGAAGGGAGGCTGTTTTGTGCCCTGGGTCTTGAAATGTGTTTTTGTTTTGTTTTCGTTTTAGAGGAGAATTGAGAGGGAGAAAAAATCAAGAATTGGGGGAATTATCCGTTGAAATGAAAGGTAAGTTGGTTGGTTTGTTGGGTGTGATGGCCTAGCCATCTTGTCTGGGTTTTTTGTTTTTTTGTTTTTTAATGTGCTTCTCTGCCTTATTTCCCTATTTCCTCTTCCTCTACCCCATTCCCAAGCATGGAATTCCAACTGGGTATTGCTGGAGGCCTTAGGGTTGATGGGGTCATCATCTCTAATTGACTGTGGATTCCTTTCCAGTGGGTTGGCAGGCAGATGGAAGGGCTGGGAACTTTAAAAAGCAACTTCTCGGGCCAGAAGAAAGGAAAGGAGCTCCAGCCCCGTTCTTCCCAGGTGGCTACCATAGCCTCCTCACCTCCTCCTCCAGACCGCCTGGCTACCCCCATTCTCCAGAGCTCTACAGCCCTCGCCCCTCCTGGATGTCTCCCTACCCCATGACCTCGTCCTTTTGCCTTCTCTCTGCCATCACAGGTGTGTTAATTTGGGCGCTTCTTGGATTCTACCCTGAGGAGGCGCGTGGTGAGAGGAGAGGTCTGTGTAGGTGGGGTGGGGGTCGCAGGGTCCGTGGTGCTGGCTGGGGGCCATAGGGGGCGGTCCGTTGTAGTCCAGGTTCCCCGAGGGGTGGTGGGAAAGGTGGTTGAGACCATAGAGGGAGGGGCCGGCAGGGGGCGGCAGCGGATCCGTGTAGCCGCCCCCGCCCACGTACACGGGGCTGCCCTGCATGGTGGGCGTCCCGTAGGCGCCCCCGTTGGCTTGGAGGACGTGGGGCTCGTAATCGGGCGCTGCGGTCGGAGGGTACTTCTGCGGAGCGCCGCAGCCTTTGAGAGGGGGCTGGTAGTTGGAGGGCAGCGCGTAGGCATTCTGGTGGGCTTTGCCAAAGGCCGGGGGGGACGGGCTCTCGTAGGTGGGGGTCATGGAGTGTAAGGCGTTCATGAAGCCGGCTGTGGACTGCATGGGCTGCGGGGGGCTGCCGGCGGGGGAGGGGCCCCCTGACGACGAGGCCAGGCCCTTGGCCTTCTGGTCCTTCTTGTACTTCATGCGCCGATTCTGGAACCAGATCTTGATCTGCCGCTCGCTGAGGTTCAGCAGGTTGGCCATCTCCACGCGGCGCGGCCGGCACAGGTAGCGGTTGAAGTGGAACTCCTTCTCCAGCTCCACCAGCTGCGCGCTAGTGTACGCTGTCCGCGCCCGCTTGGACGCCGCCGACCCCGGGGGGCTCTTGTCTCCTCCCCCGCCGCCGCCGCCGCCGCCACTGCCTCCGCCGCCGCCGCCGCCGCCGCTGCAGCCCTCCGCTGGATCCGAGGGGGAGGGGTGGGAAGGGGAGAAAATGAAATAAAAGATAATTACTGAACACGCCGAAATTGAATGCATGGTTTCTTAATAAATCCAGGCCTGGACTCGGAGCCCCCGCAGCCCCCCCCTTTCCGTCCCCGCCTCCTCCCCACTCCCCCCACCCCACGCCCGTCGCATTAGCGGACACTCTATAATAGTGGCATTTATTAAGAGACCTGTTCTCCTCTCGCTGCCCCAGCTTATGAAAATTTGATCATGTCACGCAGACAGAGCCGCATGGCCATTTATTTAGGGCTGGATTTTCTCGCGCACGCTTTCTCCCCCATCCCCAATTCCAGGTCTGGGCAGACACTTCCCCCCCATCCTGCACAGTCCTGTGGACAGGTTGGGTGGTTGAGAACCCTTGGGAGTTCTGGACATTCGTGGGCAGGGCACGGAAGCGTGGCGCGAAGAGGCTGCCGAGCCTGGAGACCGAGGGGCCGGGACCCTGGGCCGCGAGAGCGATTGTGATTAATACCCACAGTAATCATACTTAATAATAATCAATCGTTGATGACTCTGGGTCTACTGCCAGTCTCGTGGCACTGCGGCCTTGCGAAGCACTGAGTCCGAGCACCCGGCCTTCTGGAGCTCTCGGAAGCTCAGATGGAGGGTGGAGGGTGAAGGGAGGAATAGGGTACTGGCGGGATCAAGTGGGGGGGGGTACGGGATATGCACGGCGGCTGCTACCACCTGATATTGTTCCCAAGCCGCCTCCTGGGCGCCTAGGGTCTGGGTGCTAGAATAACACTGACATTCCTGGCTCTGACAAAAGCTGACGACGAGGAAGGCAGAGAGCTGGTACCTGTGCCGGGGGAGCTGTTTTTCAGCTTGGACGTTTGCCTCGACTCTTTCATCCAGGGGAATATCTGTTTGGTGAGGGTGGAGTTGGAGCCGGGGCCGCACTTGGGGGGGCCACTTTTGCTGGGCCCGCCCCCATTACTGCTGTTGCTAGTGGTACTGGTAGGTGCGGTGCTGGGCGGGGGTGAGCCAGGCGGGGCGGGCAGGGGCTCGGGGGCCAGGCCGGGCCTCATGCAGCTGCCGTTGAGCTCCTTGCTCTTGGCATGCGGGGCGGCGTTGCCCAGGGACTGCAGCGAGCACGCTGAGCGCTGGTAGTCGCCCTCCAGGTGCGTGGCGGCCTGGAAGGGGGGCTGGGGAGGGCCGTCGTAGCCGAAGCCATTGCTGCCAGGGTACGAGGAGTAGCCTCCGAAGAGTGCAGCCGCTGCGTGGTCGTAGTAGGTGGCTTTCTGCATCGCTGGGCGAGGCCCGGGCAGTGGGTGGCAACTTGCAAGGGCCTGATACCCTCACGACCGGACATTGGCACCCCTGGGGGTCACGTGAGGCGCCGGACCCCCCCTCCCCTTTCTGCCCCCCTCCTCCCGGGGTCCGTTGGTAGCGGCTGACCTGCGGGGTGAGAGAAGAGACACAAGGGGGAGAAGAGGACTGGGGCTCGAATCCATCTTAGAAACTGAAAAGGGAACTGACATCAATAGGGTTTTTCTTTTCCCCCAACCCAACATCTTCACAGCAGATGCTGAGGTGGCTTCCCTGACCTGAAATGGATTTTTCTTATTGCAGCGCTTGAATTTTAAAGAAAAAGCCCACCAGTGTTCATGTCCACTTAAAAAATAAGGATTGCTCCTCTGGGGACTGCCTAGATAGAGAATCTTACTACTGCAAGGGCCATTGCTTCTCCCCTGCCTGCCTGGCAGCCCCTGACCTCTCCTCCTCCCTCTGCCTGCCTCCCCACCATTTCTGGAACCGGGTGGTTCAAGGTGGAGGGGGCTAGGAGACTTCAGAATAAAAGCATCAACACCCTCCCCTGAGCTCAGAGGCCTCCTGTGTTCTGTCTTGTATCCCTCCATGTCCAATCCATCTAGGTCTTTTTCACCCAAGCAGAGTCTTGCGTGGAGAAAAAACAGAGGGCCTCCAAAAGAGACAAGAAGGAGAAGCAAGTTGAGCAGGGAACCTTCTCGTGGGAGGGATCCTCTCCTTTCCCTCCCACCTCACCTCACCAAGACAGCAACAGCTTGACCTAGAAACTTCCTGAAGATTTTTAACCTCCAGAGCCGGCAGAGCTGAGCCTCCCTGGCAGCCCTGCTGCAGGTACCACCACCTCCAGTCCAGTCTCTGCTCAGTCAAGTCTGGGAGCCAGCAGCCAGCCGCCCCCATATGGAGCAGGATTGTCTCAATTTCCCTGGCCCGGCTGGTTGGTGCTGTGACCATTTGGCCCAGGTCTCCCTGCCTCCATTTCTTTCATCAGACTTAATTTTTTTCCCACCCTTTCCTTGACAGTCTGTTTCCTTTGATTTCTCCAAAAGAAAAGAAGAAAGAAACTGGATTATTGCTGGACTTTTCTACAAGAGATAGGAAAGGGCTTTCTAAATTAGAAAAAATTTCCCAAGGAAAAAAGAAAGTCAGCAAAGCAATCTGAAAAATATTCTTTTCTGGTTTGGAAACAGAGGGTACCCCTGTTTACTGAAGTTCTCTGAGGCAAAAAGTGTATGTATATATATATAAATGTGTGCCCCCCAAAATAAAGGGTCAAGCCATCATGGGATTTCGTGCATTTCTTCTGAAACTTCTGATGGCATTTCTTTCCACCCTGTTTTCCCCAACCCCTCACCATCACTTTTCATAAAACCTCCAGACTGACCCTCTCTTCTGACATGTGAGTTTGGACTACAATCTCATTTCGCTCAGCTGGCCAACTCCAAAGAAAACTAAAAACAGGAAAATAAAAGGAGTGCAGGTGAAGGAAGTCCCTCCCACACATAAATCCCCTTCTTAAAGGCATGGATTTCTTCTCAAAAAGGAGCAGGGGGGAACCCTGAGTTCCGATTGGTTTCTGGGAAGAATTTGTTTCTGGGAAATACACACGGGTCTGCAAAGCAGCAGGTCCTTCCAGGGAAGAGAACTGGAGTTCAATTGACCAGACTGACCCAATCCCTTTATTATTATTACCATTAGCCTCTGATGATTTAACCAAAATAAGCTTCGGAGCAGCCCTGGCTGAAAGGGGAATTAATTAACAGGCATCAGTTGAGTTTGTTATTAATAGAGAAGAGAATGAAATAAAAACGTTGGAGGGGGTTGGCTGGCTGGGCCCTGGCTTTATTTAGTCTAAATGATTGTTACAGCAGTAATGATGATGATGATGATGATGATAATAATAAAATAATAATTTGACTAGACGCCTGGGGCGGAAATCCCTGTCGCTCCCCCTGCAATAAACGCGCAAACCATCGCAGGACCGAGGCCAGGCAAGTGTGGGAAGCAGAGAAGCCAGAGACGTGATAGGAAAGAATGGAGACTCCGCTGGCGGCGAGAAAAGGCCGGGAAGGCTTGTGCCCCTGGCTGCTGCGGCCGGGCTGTCTCCGCCACCGAAACCGCGGTGGCTGGCGACTAGCTCTGCTGGCCCAAGGAGGCGAAGAGAAAGCAGTCAGGACCCGAACCGGCCATCGGCAGCACGTTCCAAGCACACCGGGACGCGGGCGGAGCCCTACGGCCGGCAGCAAGTTTGGGCGCTGGAGATAACCGAATTAAAAGGCGCCTAAGCAACTCCGCTCGGAGACTTTGCCAGGCCCGGCTCCGGTGGAGGACGCAGGGGCCTGGCTGATGGGACAGTCAGACGAGGGAAAGGTGCCGAGGGGATTCGAGATCTGGGGATCCAGGAGAAAAGGGGGTGGGGAGCAGCTCTACTATACCAAACATGTCTATTTCCCTTGCCTCCATGTTGGAAAAATCCAGGCTCCATATGGCTTCTCGGGAGAGAGAGAGGGAGGGAGGAAGACGGTGGCTTCGGCATCCCCCCAGGGTCTTGCTGGAGAAGGGCTTAGTGCCACCCCAAGAACCCCACCTTCCCAGGCACACCCCCGAAGAGCCCAGGAGGGCAACAATAGCTGGGGAAGCCCTGGGAGAGGGGACAGGCCACCTTCCAGGACTTACAAAAAATAAAAAAATAGTGGGAGGAAGAAAAAAGAGCAAGAAAGGAAAGAGAAAGGTTAGGCTCTTCTTAGCAGCGGGGGTAAATTCAGCCCTGAATCTGGCTGCTCAAAGGAAAGAGAGGAGAAAAGGAGAGAAGCAGGAAGAGAGGGAGGGAGGGAGGGAGGGCGAGAGAGAGAGTCGCTGCGTGGAAGGAAGCTTAAAGCTTGTGAACTCTTCTTGAACCGAGATTGGAGTCATATGGGCCATAAATCATTGAGACATACTCTCCGCCATTCACAAACTGATAGCCTATTTCAGTCCAGCTTACCTTAGCCACCGACGAGGGGAGAACAGGCAGACATAATATATATTCACATCGAGCCCCAGCGCGAGCGGCAGGCGAGAAATCTCCCCTCCTTGAAGGCAAAGGAAAAAAAGACCACTGTTTAAAGCTGCGTCGCGCCCCCCCCCCCCACCAATAGCCACCCCGGCTGGGGAGCCCGAGGGGCAGACCGGCCGAAGGAGCCGCGCAGCGTCCGCTTCAATTCACCCGGCTTAGGAGCGGGGGTGCGCAGGAGGGAGGGGGTGAGGGAGCGGAGAGAAAAATAGAAGAAGACCGAAAGGTGCCTGGGCGGCTCAGCTCGCCGAGAATCCAGCTCCGGGCTCAGGCGCGGCCAAGCCGCCACAGTGTGGTTGCCCTATAAGACTGGTACGCCCTACTCTCCGTAACAATGGCCTCTGCTTTTGCACAGGGAAAAAACCACACAGACACACACACTCACTCACTCACTCACACACATACAAGCTCACACACACACCCCACCTCTCCCCCTTTAGCAAGCTTAGATGCTTGATAAGGAGGGAAGGAGATGGTGGGGGAGGGGGAAGATTTTAAAATACCCCTCCCTGGGGAAAAAAGTGAGGAAGGAAAAGAAGGTAGAGGTTTTTGTTCAGCGTCTGTTTCTGTTCGGTTGTTTTTTTTCTTAAGAACAGGTAAATTTTCAAATTGAGATTTTGGTGGGGCAGGAAGAGGAGAGCAAAGACACGGCAAAGCCAGTGATTTGTGCACAATTCCTCCACACCCCCTAGTAACCATTATGCTAATTGGAACCGTAGGATTGGGAGGCCCAGTCAAAGGCACTGCAGGTGTCAGGGTGCTGGGTGACCCCCTGCACTCGTTTGCAGCCAAACACCAGAACTTTTTTAAAAAGTAGTTTCATTCCCCCGGGGCCAGTGGCCAAGTGTCCCACTCCCTTGCTCTGGCTGGGTCTTTCTGAGTCTCCCAGCCTGTTTCTTCTACACCCATTCTTCCTCTCAACTGCAGATGTTACCAGGCCGGGTTTCCCGGTAGACGGGAAAGTCAGACCTTTTTTTTTTAACAATCCCCCCCCCCCCCCATCTGCTTTTTTTTTTTTTTTCAGAAACAGACAACAAGTAGTGAGTGATTATTTAAAAAAATCAGACCATCTTGCAGGGAGGGAGAGGGGAGGTTGAGGAGCGAATGACGAAAGGAGGACCGTGTGTTTAGCCTGACCTCCAGATGTGGCCGGCAATACAGAGGCTTTAAGAACTTCGTAGAAGTTTCTGATGAAATTCTCACCTCCAGATAGGCGGAAGGAGCTGAGAGGTGATAAAGACATTTGAACTTCTAAGAAGATGAGAACTAGCAAAACGCCTTAACTTTAAATGAACTGACAGAAGAGACAGAGGGCAGTATTATTATTCAGAACAAACCTGTTTGTTTTTCTTAGCTCTGCAAGATTTACGAGTCTTGGCACAAGAGGACGACTACCAAAACTAAACTTTTCTTAGAGTGGGTTTGAGAAGAGCAGGAAAAGTCAAGGAGGCCTGTAGGAGGAAGACAGGAGCCAAGAATGTAGGTGTCTGCAGATTTGGGGTGGGGGTGGGGAAGAGCCATTCTGGGTGGAGGAAAAAGACAAAAACAGCACCAGGACATTTCCAAAAGCAGGAGGGTTTGCAGCTCTGCCTAACTGCTGACTTGGAACTTCGGGGATAGAATAGAAGGCAGACAGTCTCTCTTTCCTCCACAGGCAGCTTGGAAAACTTGTTCTCTTCACATAGAGTCAGCCACTACCCTGTGGCCTGGTTAGGATACTTCACTTTTGCCTTCTCCCATCTGGATGCACCAGGAGAGATGGCACTGGGAGAACAAAGGTGAGAGATGGTTTCCAGCTATTGTCTCCCCTCCAGGAGAGGGTGGCTATGTCTGGCAAAGCTTCCCTCACACCCAGTTGCTCTTAACTCACAGGCTCTGCTTTGGGCTAAGAAAGGGTCCTATTCTCATAGGGAGTGTGGTCCCAGCCTCCTCCAGCCCCCACCTCTTCCAGGCCCACTAAGTTCATGGGCTGGAGTAGCTAGTTTCTGGGGCCCTGCTGAACGGGAGTGGGGGGAACCCATGGCCTCCTTACCCGTCTAGCAACAGGAGCTGCATGCAGACCGTGGTGTCCTGAGGATCCTACCTAGAGAGTTGATGGCTGAGAGAAAAGGGGGCAGAGGTTGAGGATGGAGAGTGGGAACCATTTTTCTGTGTTAATTAGTACTATCAAGAAAAGAAAATGCCTAAACCAGATCCAGCACTGGGACTCAAGCCGAGACTCTCAAAGAGCCATTATGGCTGCCTGAGTCTGTGGTACAAGGAGTCTTTCCTGAGTTAGAGACCCACAGGGTTAGACCCTAGGTAGATCTGGGTCTAGTGGGACTCAGCCCAGGCTTCCTGAGGCTTAAGGGAGCCAGAACCTTTGGGTCTTTTCTCTAACTCCTCCAAATTAAAAAGTCAAGAATGTACCTCAGACCCACCGGCTCTCCTAGCTATTGCTACCACTGGCTAGAGAAGGAAATTGAGAGATGAGAACTTGGTCTCTCTTGAGGGGCTGACCAGCTTTGCCTCAAGGAATAAAAAGAATTAGGAGGATGCCCAGCCAGCTGCAGGCCTTCCATGCTGGGCTGCAAAAGGATGTGGCCTGGAGCTGAGCTGAGAGTGGTAGAGAGTTCCAGAGACAGCAGTGGATCCCTTCCCTCCCAGGGCCTCCTCAGCTTACTGTGGTCCCTTCTGGTAACACCAGGAGCCAGGGCGCAGTGGAGGTGGGAGCAAAAGGAGGACTGGGGAGCAAGAAGGCTAACCTGTGGGAAAATGTCAGGGAATGCACCCTCAAATGCGGTAGGAGACGGAGCTGGGGCTTCTTAATTCTGGAGAGCAGAGTCCATTTGAAATGTTTGGGAGTCAATGAGATACCTGTTTGGTATCTTTCTTGCCTTTTTTTCTCCCTTTTTTGGAGATGTCTGACTGGCTGGTTGCCCCTGATTGGGGCTGGAAGGGTGGAGGGTGGAAGGAAGAAGGTAGACTAGGAGCCCTGAGGAAGCCCATTTCACTGGAGGCGTTGCTGCAGGCTCGGGACCTTTCAAACTTCAGGGGACCAAGACGAGGCAGTGAAGAGCTTGGACAGGTAACTTGGGGTGGGAGACACCAGACAAGTCTGAGGAAAGGCTTTGGGGTCTGGAAGAAGGTGGGGTAGAGGGATTTATCACCCCTGGCAGTGAAGTCATGATTTAGGGGCAGACCAAAGGGAGAAGAAGGAACAATTTCTTCCTGGATTCAAGGAGGGAAACTTAGCAACTCTGTGTGTGTGTGTGTGTGTGTGTGAGAGAGAGAGAGAGAGAGAGAGAGAGAGAGAGAGAGAGAGAGAGAGAGAGGCAGAAACTGAAAAACTGAAAAAGAAAAACTGAGAGAAAGATAAGACACGGAGACCTTAATGTAATCTAATAAAGGCAGAAATTAATAATAAGGTAAAAATTAGAAAAAATGTCCCCCTTCACATTCTTTCCTCTGCAATTCAGTTTCTCACTGGCTCCAGCACTCCCTTCCCCCACTCGCGATCAGTACCCAGGACCAGGGGACCCGGAGCACCTCAAACCCTCTTGATGGACCACTGGCCACTCACCCTTGGAGGCCTGGGGGAATCATGTCTGTTTTCCTACTTCCCCCAAAAAATCCATTGAAGAGCAAACGAAAATGTGCCTCTCAATAAGGACAAACTGGCTGGCTCCTTTCAAATCGATTTCTGGTATCAGCCTTGGGGTGACCAAGGATCCGGCCCTCAGTTCAGCCAGCCCCAAATATGCCTGGCCTGCCTGGCTCGCTGAAGCTAGGACCTGGGAGCCAGGGAGAGGTGGATGGCGATCCATTTCTTTCTGGTCCTGTCTGGGCTCCCCCATCCCATACTCTTCTCCAATTTACTGTCCAACTTTGTGGCCTCGGCAGAGTCGTGTGAAGTTCACACACACACACAAATCTTTATCTGTTCTTAAATATTAATAAAGATTTCAAAGCTGGGGGTTGTAAAATGGGATTGCTAATGAAGATGGCTCTGGGTGTTTGGATCCCCAACCCCCATCTCTCCAAAATGCGCGAGCGGGAGAGAACAAAGGAGCAGCGAGAAGGAAAGATTTGGCGCCTCAGTGGAGGCCCGTGTAGACCCGGCTCAGCAGAAGCTGGGATCAAAAGAAGAAAAAGGTTCCATGGATGGGGAAGAAAAATCCAAGCTGCACTCTCCCCCAACCCCAGGCGTCAGGACTCAGGAGGGAGTCAGGAAAAAAACAGGACAGCCACTAGGGTTTGTAAAGTGCCAGTGACCACGGAAGCCGCCTGGATGCACTGACTGCGGCTGGCGGTGCCGGGAACCAAGTCGGAGTCCGTCCTGGGCCGGGGCCTTTTTGGTGTAGGAGCCTGCTGTAGAAAAGCTCAGTCCTGGCCTGGCAAGCCCCATCCTGGTGACTGCGGAGACAAAGGTGGGCAGAGTGGAAAAGGCAAGAGAGAAGAGGGTGAATCTCGGGCAGCTGGTAGGGAGGGGAGCAGGGGGCTGGGGAAAGGAAGGAGAAGTAAGCGAGAGAGGGACAGGCCCAGCCCGCTGCGAGGGACTGCACAGGACTCTCCTGACAGATTGGAAGTCTCTTTCCCAGTGACCTCTGTTTAGCAGACAATAACTCACTGGATTAATGACCAATCAGCGGAAGGCCTTCCAAATGCCTCCAAATATAAAACTCCAAAGTCAGAATAGGATAGGGCCAGAGCCCAGACCTGCCAACCCTTTTGTTTTTCTTTTTCTCTCTCAAAATAGGGTTTGGGATGAAGCTTTAGGAATTTAACTATCTGACCAGAGACTCCGATTTCCAGAACCCCAAAGATTAAGTTGTTTCCCATCTTTCCCTCTTCACCCACCAGAACCCATACCTCTGACCCTACTTCCCAACGCAGGATGGAAACCTCTCCCCTATGGGCCTCCTCATATCCCCAATCCTACAAGAAATATCCCTCTCACAACCATGCGACTTCTGAGAAGCCCCATTCTCTTTTGAATTTTTTCTTCTCCCAGTTGAGAAAAGATGGAAATAAGAGCAGGAATGGGCGGGGGAGTCATCTGCCTGGAAGTCTTTCTGTCCTCGCTGCCCTGGGAGGAGACCTTGTATAGTGCTGTGGCACCCCTGTGCATCCTCTCCCAAGGAGAAAGGGCCCAAAGGCCCAGGGACCAAGGGAGGCTGGGGTTGGGGGGTGGCCTGCCACCACAGAACCTAAATTCTCAAACCACAGTTCAGACCCTGAGCTGAGGTGAAGGGATTTCAAAAGCCACATTCTGCACAACTCCAGCCTCACCGGGGTACCAGACAGGGAAAGTGCCTTCCTCTGTGAGGGGGAGCCCCTCCTTCCCAGCTCCCCTCCAAAGGCCAGCCCAGCCCATCTCGGCTAGTCCCTCTCCACTGCCTTCTCTCTCCATAGCTCTCTGCTGGGCTTTTCCTCTGCTGAAATTAAAGACACCTTTAGGAGAAGGAACGGCCCAGATTCTAAAGGATTTCCTACAGCCAGTCTGAATAACCATCCATGATCAGGCACGTACAAACGCCCAGTATATTGCAATAAGCATGCAGTAACGCCTACACCCAGATGCCCACAGAACCCCAGGACACACAAGGGAGCTGCTCCCAAGCACAAGAGAGTTACCCAGGGTCAGAACTAGGGAGAACTCAGGAAGCACCTTGTCCAACCCCACTATTACTACAGATAGGGAAACTGAGGTCCAGAGGTAGGAAGTGATTTGTCTAAAGTCATACTTGGGATAAGCTTGGCAGTTGGGAGGCTTGGATTCTTGCCGTTACAGATTGGCTGTGTTATCTGAAGCAGAGAACTCCCTGGGCCTCAGTGGCTCCTTCTATAAAGTCAGAGCATGTGTGTGGAGGGGAGGAGTTGGGCTAAATGACCTCTAAGGTCCCTTTGTGGACTCACAGTTTGTGGTTCTCTGTGTGCTGATGTAAAAGTGAGTGACAATACACAGTAACAGATTGAGTTCAGACCTTAATGGGCACCATCATGGCCAAAGGCAGAATATTTCCTCTTGGGATTTAAATGTTTATACCCCCACTACTAAGCACCAATCCCACTTCTGGTCCTCCTTGCCCCCATAAAAGGTGCTGGTTTTTACTGCTTTTCTCCACCTTAATCACCAAATCAAATGTGCTATTTTTGTACACAGCAACCTGGGCAGTAAATAATTAATTTGTATAATTCGAAGAGGAAGGCTTCAACCTGGCAATTTTTAACCAGAAGTCAATGCACCTATTGTACCAGCCTGGCCTTCTCACCCGACCCCTAACTCTGCCCACATACCTACCAGCCTGCCCAATTTGCCTCCCCCCAGTTGGAGACCAGCATTCCCAAGATGACCAGCAGGATTCATGGAGTCAGACTCTGCTCCCTCCCCGGCAAAGTTCCATTTTCTGCCTTGCTCTCCCAAAGAAATTGGTCTGCAGCTGCCCCTCAAAGGCAGCTTGCTTTCCCTAGCCCCTAACGATGTCTGGGGCTCCAGGTCCAGGCTCACTGCTCTTGGGACACACGTAATCCACCTCCCCAGCGCAAGATGCCACAACAATGCAGCGAGTTTGCATTTCAAGAAACTCCCATTAATATCAATTTACTTCACTGAAACCTCAGGTTCTTCATCAAGTTGATGATTTATGATAAAATCAATTAAATTACGGCCACTTAGGGCCCAGCCGCTTCCTCTCAGATTTCATTGGTGCGGGGCCCAAGTGTCTGGTGGAAAAATGCAAGTTTAGCTGGAGGCGAGGAAAGATAATTCTGCGGCTGAGAAAATTTAATGCAAAACAATTTCCAGGCAAAGCCGGGCGTCTGGACAGAAATGCAAGAGCCACCAGTGGGCCTGCGGAAATAACTATCTGGGGGTCAACATTTTTTTCTCCCAATCCCCACCATCCTGCATGGCTCCCTTGTTCAGTTCCCCTTTGTGCTCACTTGCCCCCTCCCAAGCACAGACTTTGAGGGAATTTGAGCAGTAATGGTGGAACCCACGCCTGCCAAGGGCCAGCCTTAAGCTCCAATGTGGGCTTCCACCCCAGGCCCTTTTCTCCTTTCTCCCTCTCCTCCCCACGCAGCTGTGCTCACGAATTCCTTGTTTTTCTGTGGCAAAGTTAAAGGTTCAAAGTGAAGATCAGGTGGCATGGGCAGATGGCACAGAGGTGCCAGGGGCCAAACCAAGTGGGCTGTGCTGTGTGGGACTGTGCACGGAAAGAAAGCACAGGCGGAAGTGAGCACTAACCCATGGCCAGGGCACAGGGCGGCAAAATGTGTGCAGAGCACCCCATCCCAGAGTACCAGGAACAGAACACAGAGTCTCCCTGGTGGTTCCCTGGGTGCTCACTCACTCACAAAGCAATACTGCACCGAACAAACACCAGGGTGCAGATGTGCTCCCCTGGTACACAAACACACCCACACATGTGTTCTTGCACACTCTCCTATACTTCTCACAGACCCACCGCATCCTGTGCCTGCAAAAGACAGTTCCCACCATCTCTTCACATCTGGGAAAATAAATCCTAGTGAATCAAGCTGGCACTGCCTCCCACTCCAAGGAGAGGGTCTTCTCCCTCCCCTGCTCTGTTTGGTTTTTGGTTTCCAGAGCAGTCAGGGAGTAAACACAGCTTCTCTAAAGTCATAAATCACCCCCTCTCCTACCTTCTCAGTTTAACACCCGGCTTCAGCGCAAGCCCTTGTAGTTTCAGCTTCAAATAACCAGCTAGGTGCCAAAAGGCTGGGCCACGGTGGCAGCTGGACTGTGGAACAAGGCCCAGCCGTTCCCGACCCCAGCAGATGCCCCTCACAACCCATAGCTTCCAACTCCCTGGAAAAACCCTCCACGGCCTCCAAAGCAGTCCTTCCTGAGCAGAGAGTTCCGTCCCCTAACCCCGCTCCTGTCCACACTCCCACGAGGACATTCCCACCTTCCTCCACAGCGCCCTGCACACCAGGATCCTCTACCCCCTCAGCCCCTAGCCGCCACTTTAAGTGGCTCACATCTTTGTCTTCCGCGATTCCATCCAGCCTCCTTCCTGACCCAGGAGCGTGGCGGGCGGCGAGGGTCTCAGCCAGCCCCGCTCTCCACCGCAAGCCAGGCCCTGGGCGCCGCGTGGCACCCGCACTTACCTGTGCGGTCTCCCGCTAGGGCGCGGGCCGCGGCGAGCGGCCGGGAGCGGGGGGCGCGCGTGAGCCGACTGCCAGGCCCGGGTCCCTTGGCCCCAGCTGGGGCTCCGCGGCCGCGGCCGGCCGCATCCCGGTCACTCAGACCCCCGCAGCCCGGGAGCGGCCGGCCGAGGAGGGGAGAGGCCCGGAAGCGCTCGCCCCCACCCCGCCCCGCCCCGCCCCGCCCCCGGCTTTGTTGGGTCTCCGGGGCCGTGGGGCGGCAAGGCGCGCGCGGTGCTGCACCCGCGGCGGCCGGCGCCCGTCTCCGCGGACCGAGCTCCCCGCTGCGAGGGCCCGCGTGGAGCTGCGGGCAACCGGGCGGGCCTGGCACTGAGCTGGGGTCGGGGTTTTGAGAGCGGGCCAAGTCGCCAGGCGAGTGGAACAGCTACTGACAGGGGACACGGCGAGGAGCGGGGAGCACGGGGGCGCCACGGCGGAAGGCGGGCGCACGGGAGGCTCTTCAATGTCACCAGCGAAATGGGTTCCATATGTCCGCCCGGAGAGATGGGAGGGGAACGGAGGGTTCTGAGCAGGAACCGGCGGGAGGGTGGGGGTGGGGTGCGCAATGGAGGGAGCGGAGTAGTGACCAGGGGTAATGGCAGGGATGGGAAAGGCCAGAAAGGTTTGCATTTTCCATTGGCCCTGGAGTTTTCTAAAGCTGCTTAGGCTGGTAGGAACTTTCCCCTTTTCCTTTTGCCTTTTTTTTCCCTGAAAGGTGGGAGAGGGAGGAGATTAGTGAGGGTAGCATGTTTGTTCAGGCTGGGGGTTCAGGGAAGAGATGTGGATTGGAGGTGAAAGGGAAAGTTCTTAGGCGGCTGGAAGATCAAGTTCTCCCTGTCCCTAAAGAGGGAAAGAAGAGACCAAACCCCAAGGGGAGCAGAGGCCAAGGAAGGATTCCAAGGTTCAGGTGAGACTGACACAACCACACAGAGACACACACACACCACCACCCTCGTGGAATTCTGTTCCGGGAGATTCCAACCATTAAGTTACTGATGGTGGTGGAGGAAGAGGAGGTTGAAGTGCCCACAACATCTTGGCCATTCCCTGACATTTCAGTTCCTACCCCAGCTGCCTCACACCTGATTTAGGACCCCCAAAGGCCTACTTTAGAGGCAGTTTTTTCTGTGATGGTCTGGGCTATGGGCAGCGGCCTGTAAAAAAAAAAAAGCAGCCTGGAAGAGGTTCCAGACCATGCAGCCCTCTCCCCTCTGTGCCTGCCCCCCAAGGGGGTTAGGCTCCTTCTCCAAATTTCTTCCTCCCCAGCCACCAACTCCCTGCCCTTCCTAACCATCTCTGTTGTCTCTTGTCTCGCTCTCTTTCTCATAACCCCTTTGTCTTCTCATGCTCTGCCTCTCTCTGTATCCTAAGTGAATTTACATCGAGCCTTGCAAAGAACTTAGGAGTGTCTCCAGAAGTCATTTCTGGACTTATTAGGCTGCTCCTCTCCTGGGGCAGCGTGGAGCCCTTGGCCTTAGAGCCCTTTCCTCTTCTGGAGTAAGCCATCCTCTGCCATGGAGGCATTCTCTCTTCAGAGAAGGGGGCAGAGTGAGTGATTTCTTTTCTGCTTCCCTCCGTCTCACTTAACTCTGACTGTGTGTGTGTGTGTGTGTGTGTGTGTGTGTACTCTGTGTGTGTGTGTGTGTACTCTGTGTGTGTGTGTGTGTGTACCTATCCAAATTGTAGGGCTCCTTGTAGAACAAACTGCCTGCCCCTCTGACTGGCCTTTGTCTCCATTCTCCCTGGCGTCCTCTCCTTGGTCTCTGCCTTGACTTCCCACCTCAGAAAGGGATCCAACTGCTTGTTCTCTCTCTGGGGCCCTCTCTTTTTCCTTCAACCTCTCTCTCCTCATCTTTATCCAACTCTCTGGTCACTAAAGCATTGGCAGCCCAACTTCTTAAAGGCAGAAGGATAAACACTGTAATTATAAAGTGGACACCAACAGAGTCGGGGAAGAAGACAGAGTCAGCAGCTTTCCTAAAACCCCTCCCATCAAATGCATTCTACCCCATCCTCTGAACAGCACAAAAGCAAATGGGGTGTGCATGTGCAGAACTGGTAAGAGGCAGGGTGTTTCATGGCTAACTGAACCAAATGTATATCTTTCTGTCTGTCTGTCTATCTATCTATCTATCTATCTATCTATCTATCTATCTATCTATTCATCTATAAAATAAAGTCTTTTCAAACTTGATGATTTGGGGGTAGGCCACTAGGCCTGGATGGAGGGGATCAGGCCTCATACAGGAAGATTAAGCCAGGGGCTAGTGACTAAAAGATAACAGTGGAGAGAGACAGTCTCCCTGCTTTTGTCTCCTGGGGAAGAGTCTGTGTGTGAGTTGGGGAAAAGGAAGGGGAGGGGGTGTCCCCAGGGCCAGAAGAGACAAAGACCTGAAGAGGGTTGAGAGCATGGAGAGGAAAAGAGGGGGGTCAGATCTCCACGGTCACAGGCAGTAGGGGCAGGGAGTGGAGAAGGGGGAGGAGTTGGAGACACAGGGAGAAGGGCTGTGGGGCTGGCTCCAAGTCTCCTCACTAGCTATGGCCTGTCCCAAAGAGTAAATCCTTCAGCTTCCCCCTTTCGCTCCCCATCTTCCAAAACAGGCTGAATTCAGATGCTAATAAACAGGATTCTACTCTTCCTTCTCCTCCAGAAGTCAGTCTTCCTCTCCAAGGAAGACATAGTCCTTCCTTCCTCTCCTAGGGATTCCAAAACTTTGGCCTAAATTCTGAAACACCATTTGGGAGTGAACTTACATTTATATCTACACCCCCCACTTCCCAGGCGAGGGAGAGGACATAATTGTCTCCCACACCGAGTTTGTATGGGATTCTCCAACACTGAAGGAGGATGACCCGAGGGCTTTGGAGTCCCCAGTTGTCTCCCTCCCCATCATCTCCAGCCCTGTCAAAGCTGCCCTTGACCCAGACTCTCCCCAGTTCCTTTTATCTAGGCCAGGTAATGCTCCTACCCATCCTAGCATAGGGTCTCGGCTCTCTCCTCTTTCTCCCTGAACATTTTTCAACCAAAACTTCCTAACTGGGAGACTTCACCCACCATCCACCCACAAATCTGCCTGTTGGCAAGGACGGACTGGGCTCCCACTTGGAGCAGAGCATGGGAATGAACTCCTGGGTGCTTCAAGACTGGGGCCTAAGCTGTCACTCCATGCTGATGCCATAAGTAATTAACATCTGGATGTGGCATCACTCTAATTTTCCTGTTCAAAGATTTACATAGCAGGCAGAGTTAAATATCAGAGATAATAGTGGCACTTGGCTGGATGCCAGCCAGGGAAGAAAAAGCCAGCAGTCCAGACTGGACTTGGTAAAGGCTCTGACACTCCGCTTATCATCCATCACAATTTTAGGGTGCAGTGTAGAATGTCCTCCAGAAACCACCTCCGGCTTTGCTGTTGACCAACAGACCCCTTACTAATGGGGAGAGATTGAGACCCCTACATGAAAGCCCAGGAGAAAGTTACCAGCTCTCCCCTTCCCAGTGTGCACCCTACTTGTTCCCTCTTTAGAAGGGGGCTTAGGAAGGGCAAGACACCCCATATCCTGAAACTCTCTCCAACTTTTTGGGACCACCTGATTCCTGGAACATTTTGTTTCTAGAAAAAGTTACAGAACTTCTCCCTGCTTTAGCCCCAAACACACATAGTTCCTTACTGCTGAGGAAACTTTCTTTGTTTCAGGAGGTGGAAGGAAGGCTACTGGGGTGTGAATCCATTTCCGTGTTTTGTTAGCCAGGAGCGTGGGGAGCCAAGGCTTTCGGCTTCTCTCCCTGCCCTTCACCCTCTGCCTCTATTGTCTCCTCCAGTTTGGTTAGCTCCTTCCCCACCCTTAACACCCTGCCATGCAATCAGTCCTATAAATTAAGCTTTAACACTAGAGCAGAATCTCCCTTTCCAATTAGAGAACTTCAATTGGTCCTCATTAATTACAAAAAAATCTTTGCCCTCAACTCCAGTAATTTCTTCCTCTGCCTCCATCTCTCTTGTCCCCAGGCTCTATCTGCCTTCAGAGTTGGTTCTTCACCCCAGGCTGAAGTTGGAGCTGCCAAACTGCTGGAGGGGAACAGCTGAAAAATGAAGCTCTGTCTGCTGCTGCAGGAATGTTGGCTCTATCAGGCTCACAAATATAATTTTTATATTAGGTCGTGGTCTTTGGGTTTATATGCCAGTGAGGCATTTCTGGTTTACCAAATTTATACAAATCTCGCCTTAATTGATAATCACAGATGCTGTAATTTAAGACCTCCGGCTATAGAGCTTTCATATTAACTGCTGATATATTACTGTAAATTGTCTGAAATAACCAACTCCTGGGAGCAGAGCAGAGAGGGAGGAAGTGCCTCCGAGAGCGACTCTCTCCCGGCCGCAGAAATAGCCCAGCTTCCACATCATTTTCCATGAGAAATGATTTATCGAAGACATGGCCATAAACAACACAAGTCGCTCACAAACACACGCAGACGCGCGCGCGCACACATGCACACACACACACACACACACAATGGCTGGCATGCTGGCGAGAAGCTGACACCCATATTGCTATAAATCAAGAAAAAGGTTGGAGGAGAGGGAGAGAGAGAGAAGAGGAATATTCCTAAAATCTCTATGCAATGCCTCAATGGGTATAAATACACAGAGCACCGTGTGAAGAGAAATGGCAGGAAATGAAGATGGCTATTTGTCACATTTTACGACAATAACATTAATAACAAACAATAAATTTACATGGACATATAAGACGCGGTAGGTAGTGAGAAATCCCTTCTACTTACAATACCCCAGCCCGCGGTGTCGCTCCGGCTGTTTTATTGCTGCCTCCCTCTCTCTTTCTCTCTCTCTCTCTCCCTCTCTCTCTCCCTCTCTCTTTTTTTCTCGGGGTACAGGCTTGTTTTTCAAAGGACAGTTGAATTGCACGTCAGAAACAGGGAGACCGAGCCTGCGATTTTCCTGACGAATACATATCTATTCTGCAACCTCGGCATTAATTATTTAATGAATCACGTGACCAGGAGGAGGAAGGGGGTCTTTCAATTTCAGACTCAAAGGACCACTATGACCTTCCCCTTCAGGAGGAGAAATTTTCTTGCAAAATAGATTCCCCCCACCCCACCAATGGAATACTAGCGAGTTCTCTTTCTCTTGCCCACATTAACATCTATGCCTACATCCACAGCTCCCTAACCATCCCCACAGACACACACTTACCCACAGCCCACCTCTCCTTTCTCCCTCTCCTCCTGCTTCTGCCTAGTTCGTGGAGGTGCAGAAATAGTCTGCAGGGGCGTCTGGGGGGTGGGGGTGGGGTGGGCACGGAGCCCTTCTCTAAGCCCCTGGATTTCTCAGTCTCCAGTTCTCTTTGCATCCATCCTTTAAGATTAAGATCCCCCCCACCAACTTCAATCTTTCCCTCACTTTCAAGATATTTATTTCAGTGGGACACACTCCCCTTCTTCCTAAATAGTCAACAACACTTCTAAAGGGACCAGCTTCAAAAGAAACATTTCATAAGCCCATATTATACATGTATAAAGAATGGGGTTTCTAGGTTTAATTCTCCTTTTGATCTTTTGTGGTACCTTTTGAAGGGGGTAGAAGAGGGACAGGTTGACTCTGGAGCTTCCAGAGTTGAGAACAACCACAAGGGGGGCATTTTTTCCTTGTGTTGTGACTATTATGGGGAGCCAAATTCTTCTGACCGACAGAATACACTCTAAGGAGAAAGACCCACACTAGGCTTTCTACACAACAGAAGTGGATAGTCAGTCTCTCTCTTCCTATGTCATACCATCTCAGCCACTACCCGCCCCCTCCACAACACACCAGTGAAGACAGCTGGATACCTAAACTGGAGGAAAGGGGAGAGAATGGGAAGAAAGAGAATTGAAGTCAGTCTGACAGCCTCAGGTCCCTATTTCCCAGGTTATAGTACCCTGAGCTTCCAGTGGACAGACAACGGAGACTGATCAATGGGAAAAAGATGGGGGGGTTGCATGTTAAAGCCACAAACACCGGGGATGATAGGAGAAAGGCCTAGAGATAGAGAAATGTACACAGACTCCTTCATCTCTGATAAAAACAAAACGAAACAAGAAACCCCCCAATCCTTTACCTACAGCTTGGCAACAGAATGAGCAGACCAACCAGAATCAGGGTCCTTGGTTGCCAGATAGGATGAGGGGGCAAAGGAGAGCAGAAAAAACATTCCTGAAGAAGCCCCTTGCCACCCATTTCCAGTCTTATCTTCAGCAGCTCTGGGGCAGCAGGGCTACAGGCACTGGCGGGATGCCAAGGAAAAAGAGCAGTTTGGAGAAACAGACAGGCTGGGGGTCCCCTGTTGGTTTGTTTGGAGAGGCCTGAACTAAAAGCAACTTGCTGGGGAGAAGGTTGAGGACCCAGATGCCCTAACAACCCCCAAGAAATAGTCACACACATACACACACACACACCGCCTCTCGGTACTGGCCAGAGGCCCTGGGCGGCCTGGCTTCCTTGGAATCCCACTCCCCGCGCTCGGATGGGGCGCTGGCAGGGCCCAGACTCCGGGACTTTGATTGTCCAGATACAAAACACAGACTGGTTATTGAATTCATCTTGCTCCCGAGGTGGGCCCCACGCCCGGTTCCAGCAACGGCAACTCTGCAAGGTTCTGGCCACAAATCCACTAACAATGGCCCCCCTCAAAGGAAAAGATTCCACTAAAATCTAAAAAAATGTATGTGAGCAAGAAATAGAGAGAGGGGGGGAGGAGATAATATGCTGGAGCATAGGAAGACAGCAATCTCTGAAACTGAGGAATTATTTTTAAGGACAAGAAAAAGAACAGCAAAACAACACGAAGCCACGCTGAGCAGGGTCTGTTAAAATGCCACACTCTTTTCGGATCCTGGGAATGTCCACGTTCAAATAAACAAGCACCGGGGCGCGAGCTGAGCGCTTTCTTGCTGCCGATAAAGCGAACATTTATCCTTTAAGAAAGGTGAGATTGATTTACGAATCTGAACGCGCCAGTTTTATGGCCGATCACAAATCCTTCAGCGCTCAACTCATGCTGGGAAACTTCCCAACTCTGTCTTCCAACCAGATCCTCCTCCTCCCGGGCCGCCGCGGCCCAGGGAGACCCACCAAGGGTGCGAGGGCTGCTTGGACGGCTGGGACAGGGCCTGCAGCCCTGGTCTGCCCCTTCGGGTGGAAGTAAGAGGGAGGTTGGGGAGGGCAAGGGACCCAGAGGGAAGAAAGGTCAAAGATTAGGATGACTCAGGGTGGCTGCTAGAATTGTAGAAGGTAAACCTAAAGGCTTATGTAGCTGGCCAGAAACGCTCAGCTCTGGGTCTGGGAGTGAGGGAAAGGGAAGATCTTGAAGTTCTTGCCTGTCGGGAATGAAACCTTTGAATGAATCCCAAGTTTCCCTTTCCATTATTTTACTCCTCTTTCCCCTTGATGCACCCCTAATTCTTAAATTTCAGAGAGCAGCTTGTAAAGTCCCAGTTAACTAGATCTTTGTCACCTGGGCCTTTAGAGAGCCCACAGTTGGTTATCTGCCCTTATGAATAATGGGTACACATCTCCCCTGAGCCCCAGATATTTTTAGTCCAGGAGCAACCCAGCTCACTTTTCTGCCCTGAGGCCTCTAGCCCTTGCATGTATTATGCCATCTGGGGACAAAGGAGATGATACCAACCAAGGCCAGTTTTTTTCTTGCCTGAGATAAGAGTCCCCAAGTTACAGGCAACAATTTACAAAATGCAAACCACGAAACACCCCAGGCAAGTTTTAACCTAAGGGAACATTTCCTCTTCCTACCTGGAGGTTACTTGAACTACTTCTCTCTATATATCTGTCTAGCTATCATTTCCTTCTAAGAGGATGGCTGCTGGTGTGGGTTAATAGAATACAAATTTGGGAAGTCTCTACCTTTGGAGTTTACTTCTTAGCAAATGTTCCACCAATCTTTTAAAATTAAAAGTTGATGGAAACTTTGGTTAATGTGGCAGAGCTATACCTGGAAGTGGTCAGGAGAGGCTGTACTAACCCTCTCCCATCTCTCTCTCCTCTGGTGGGGAGGTATTCCATGGGCTCTGTGAATAACTAGGGTGGATGGGGTTAGGGAAAGGGAGGGAAAACGATTATAGGAATAGCTTCCTGCACTAAAGGAACTTCAGAAAATGGGTTTAGGGGGTGTGGATTTGGATGTCAGAACTTGAGGGACAGTAGATTCCAAGGGACTGTTCATGGGGGGAGCCCACTTTCTTCTTAGGATGGGGACTGGTTTCCCTAGTGCTCTGAAACCCCGTGGACCTCTCCTACTGCTTCTCTTTGTCTTTGATCCCTCAGCTCCCTCCAAGCAAAACAGGAGAGAAGGAGAGATGAGCTGGACATGGTAGGTGGGGGCCGTTGGAGCGTGGCCTAGGGAAGGAGTTTGGCACAGAGAGACTGCTCAGCACTCTACTTTCCTCCCCCGGGAAGGAAGGAGCTAAAAGTTTTATTCCTTTTCTCTCCAATGGACATTAATAGAAAAAAATCCAGAAATTTCAAGATAGCAAAGAAGGGATTGAGGGCTAGAGGGGGGACAGAGAAGATGGGACATACAACAGCCCAAGGATCCCTCCCTGTGGAGGTGTGACTTTCTGTTCTGGGCAGGAGGCAAGAGCCAGCACAATGTCCAGTCTCAGGGAGGTCAAGGGGCTTCCGAGGTCATTTTGTGGTTCTAATACTGAGCTAATCGCCTAGAAAACGTGGCCTCTCCATGAACTCTCTCTCCTGCCAGGCTCTGCCTCCAAAGCCTCAGTGAGCCCCAGGGAAAAAGGGCCAGCACATTCAGATCTGAGACAGAGCCCACTGTCTCCCTCAACCTCAGCAGCAGAATCCCAGTAGGGAGAACAGAGCCCCCAAAACAAGAGCGAAAGGAAACCAAACTGAACACTGAGCCTCCAGAAAGAGGTTGGGGAGCTGGTGCAGAGTTGAAGGGGAAGATTCCCGCATCAATGAACCTCGCCTGCGAACGGGCGTTTACTGCTCCAGAGAGTTGCAAATATTTATCTAGAATCCCAAGCTAGACATAAAACAGCACAAAAGGAAGACATTCACCTCTACCCCACTCCAAGGCTGAGGCATTCCATCCAGAAACGACATTCTAATTTTTCCAGGAGGCTGCAGTGACAACATCTCACTATAAGCATACATATTGGACACAAGCCCCCAGTGTAGACAAGCGAAGTAACAGAAAACACCAGCCACATGGGCGCGCCGCTATACACATGCACATACATGCATGCTGGGGGCTCCCCAGGCCTGCCTGCATTTTCCAAAACCAGAAAAGTATTTCTGAGCTGCCTCACAAACCAGCTTCTCTGGGGTTTTTCAGGGGCCCTGACACCTAGGGACCAAGCAGTTCAAACACTCTCCAGGTGTCGAGGCCCTTCTCTGTCCCTCTGAGCCAAGCATCAGTCACCATAAAAGGCAGCAAACCTGACCAAGTGTCCACCATAAAAAGCCTGCAAAGATAGTTGAAAAAGAAAAAGGCGACAGAGTGTTTCTTTTTTCCCTTGTAAAAAGAGCTCATAAAACGTTTGGGGGGGAAAAAAAAAAGCCAGCCCAGGCGGGGGCTTTGTTACCTTTTCGCCTCTCGCCTCCTCTGGCCCGAACTCGGAGGATCCCATTCATGACGAAGGGCTTCTTCCAAACTGAGAGAAAAAAGTTTTCAACTTTATGGTTCCAAATTTTTTCTCCCTTGCAAGTCCAGGAGAAACGGCTAACACTTTTTTCCCCCAACAGCCGGTCTGCGGAGATTTGCTGTTGAATAATAACAAAGGAGAGAGGATACGTATTTAAAGAAAAGAAGTGATTAATGGTTTTCTGTATAATTCTCACATTTTTCTTAGCTCTTGTCTACACAGAATGGCTGTGAACTTTAAGCTCCATAGAAATCTTTTTTTATTCTATTCATACCTTCCAAGAAGCAGCTTTGATTTGGTTCTTTAGAAACATTCCTTGGGGGGGGGCATATGCTTTTTAAGAAGTATCCCCCCCAACTAAGGTCGTCTGCATCCCCTGGTAGCTAAACATCACACCGAGAGTCCACAGAAACAAAGCTCACTGCTCTCATCCTCCAGGTCCCGGTGATTTTTTTATGAGTCTTCTTGCAGCATTTAAACGGGCAGTTCAACTGCCCTTTCACGGGCTGTGGACACCAGCCTGGTCTGTCCCGGGGCCCTACCCAGCCTCACACTGCTGGGCACTACAAACCGGAGGAATACAAAAGAAATAACAATAAAACATGCTGGTGGAATTGGCTGTTTTTATTTTCTGATGGGAGATGGGACCGAAAAACGACTTTTAATTGCATATGCTCTCCCAAGCTCCGAGCTTTTTGGAAACAAGGTGGCTGTACCCTGGGCCACCACAGGACCAGAGACCCTGAGGCTGGAGCCCCCAGAACTTAGAACTTCCCTTAGGTACTACCCCAAAGCGGCCCAAGCCCAACAGGGCTTCTGAGGATCATCCATACCCCTTCCCCTTCCCCCACTCCATTCTAGGGGTGACTGGGACCTCAGAGACAGAAAGCTATTTGGTCCCCAGTCGTACTTTCAATACTTTCTATGAGAAAGAAAATGAAAATTAATACAGGAGCAGGGCTTCACAAAAGAGGCCATTTGTCTTCTTGATTATCTATTTGCTTGTCAGAGTTTGAGCTATGGCACCGGCTAGCTCCTTTGTAATATAAAAATACTCTGAAAACCTGCAAACATCCAGAAACATCTGTGCAAAAAATTAGACTCATTAAAGCCTTAAACACCTCAGAGGAAAACGATACCTTCTTACGCGGAAGGATAAGAGGCCGGCCTCACGGAATCCTCTCTCCGAACTTTAATAAGCAAAGAGCCGTCTGTCTAGAAGGAGACAGCTTAACCGCATTTTATTTGCTTATGACAAATAAATCACTATATGAAAGGCTTTGCAATACTTAAGCCTCTTGTGTCCTACAATGAACATTTTCCCCCCATTAGGGACTGGAGTCAGCCCTCCCAGTCCTTTCAATCCATTTTTGGACTGGAGGGAAAAAATTAAAAGCCACAAACAAAACACCCCCCCCCCCGCAAATAAAACAGCTACAGTTTGGAGTCTTCTGAGAGAGAAATTCCCATTGGACCCTTTGGAAAAAATCCTCAACCACATACAATGTGAGGCCGAATACCCTGAGGTGCTTAAAATATATGCTGGGTGGCATTTGTCTGTATCTTTATATCAAGGTTTCAACAAAAACACGCCGTGCTGGTCACAAGAAACCAAACATTTATTTCTATTGTCACTCTGTACAGGACACAAATTTTCACACCACAAAGGGTTCTAGACTCAGGCAGCCCCGGAACTAGGAAGGGGCCTGGTTTGGAATGTCAAAAAGGGAATAGGAGAGAGGACACACATGACACAAAATAATAATAATAATAATAATTAATAATAATAATAATCATAATGCGACAATGATAAAACTATGGGAGAGGTCTCTGTAACATCATCTCCCAGGCCAGGAGGAATGCAACATTTTGTTTCCTAGTTTCACATTCATTTTCAGTCTAGGAGAGAGAGAGAAGGCCTCCGCTGTACAACTAGATTAGCCAGACGGCTGCACCCAGCTGGTAGAACTCAACTGGCCCCTCACCCTGCCAGGAATGGCTTGACCTTCAAAAGGAGGGTCCTCCCGGGTCTCTAGGTCTCTATGTTCTTCCTTGGACCCAATTTCCCTGCCCATTCCTGCCGTTGCTAACGCCACCCCTGCCTCCACTTGTCCCCCACCTTACTGCCCCTGCCCCAGCCCCCCAGTGGAAGGGGTGAGCAGTCAGTGTCCCTGTGAAGGGCATGGAGGGAGAGGACGTTGTGTGTGTGTTTGTTACCGTGGCCAAAACACTGTGCTATCTGGAAGTCAGAGGGTGCTTTCGTTGGGTATCAGGAATGGGGGACAAAGAAAGAAAATCCAGGCTGTCTTCCTGTGGTAGCTGAGCCGGGCCTCATTTGTTAGCCGGGTGTAATGGTCGCCACCGAGGCCGGTTCTCTCCGCGGCAGAGTAAACAAGACAGATGGGCCCGGGCCTGGCGTGATTAAAGATGAAACGTGGATCCATCTTCGCCAAAGCTGAAAACAGGAGTGCAGCCTCCTCCTATTTCTCTTTCTGTCTTTCTCCCTTCTTTTTTTTTTTAAGGAAGAAAGCACGAGACTTGAACCTTGCTTCGGGGCCTCTCCCGGCTCCCTATTGTCATTTCTATAAATAAAGCTTCCCCTCCCCCTCCTCTGCGTTTATTCGTGTAAATAGAGTAGGGGGAGGGCAGGTAGGTTTCTGGGGCCCAGGCCCCAGGGTCCCATCCCGCATCTCCCTCCACGATACCCCGCGCTCGCAACCCACCCCTGCCCCAAAGTTCGCGGTGGCACTAGAGCGCGGGGGGGCCTCCGTTGGGCCGGCCAGGGGGCCCTACGGCTGCGCCTCCGGTGCCACCTGAGCGGATCTTGGTGTTGGGCAACTTGTGGTCTTTTTTCCACTTCATGCGTCGGTTCTGGAACCAAATCTTGATCTGGCGCTCGGAGAGGCAGAGCGCGTGGGCGATCTCCACCCTCCGGCGCCTGGTCAGGTAGCGGTTGTAGTGAAATTCCTTCTCCAGCTCCAAGACCTGCTGGCGAGTGTAGGCTGTCCGAGAGCGCTTGGGCTCCCCGCCGGCGTAATTGGGGTTTACTAGACACACACAGAGAGAGGAAGAAAGAGAAAGTTTTATTGCCCTGAAAGGGAGGCGAGAGAGCTCGTACTCCCAGCTAACACTGTATCTCACTCTGTCCCTCCCTCTCCTGCCATCTCTTCTTCCTCCAGAGGGCGGTGGGGATGCAAAAGGAGAAAAGCGGGACCCCGGGAAGAGAAAAAGATCTCAAAGTTTTGGAGGGTTGGGTTGTCTCCATGTTATTTGGGTGTCTGGAGGGGGGTGGGTGTGAGGAATCTTCACAAGGTTTTCACCGCTCCCCACTCCCCTCTTGGCCTGGGGCCCAGGATGGGAAAATGAGGGGTGAAAAAGGGAGGGGGCTTCCTTGAACCTTACTTGTTAGTCCCCACCCTCTGTGCTCAGATTCCAGGCACTGCCTACCCCCAGTAAAAACTTTTGCCCACTCCTTGAGCCAAGGTGCCAGAGAGGAGGAAAGAAAGGAAAAAATAAATACTGGGAGTTGACTCAACTCTCCGCTTAAATACAGATTACCTCCTCCTCCCCCACCTCCCCCACCCCTCCCCAACTTCCAACTTCACTGCGACTGCATCTCCCTGGCGAAAAAGTCGCTGGTGAGAATGGCAAAGAGGATGGGGAACCGACTTCAAAGGCGCGGGGCCCACCAGGCCATAAAAATTTATGGGGGATGTAATTATGTGGCTCTGAAAACAGGCAACCGTAAATCTCCGGCAATGGCGAGTTTATAGCGGGGACAATTGGCTTCCCCCAGCTTCCCCCCGCCCCCCAGGCCTCCGAGGTCCCTGGGTGTAAAACGGCGAGGATGGGAGGGGGAAGGGATGCCCACGCACTCACCCGTGCTCACGTGAACTTTGCGCATCCAGGGGTAGACGACGGGCTCTTTGCACGCGGAGTGGGACGGGCTGGGGTGCAGGGAGTTCTGGGCGCAGGGAGGCGGCGGGGGGCTGCTGCTGACCGCCTCGCAGCGCTGGCCGGGCTCCGGGAGGAGGGCCCCGGAGGGAGGCGGCGCGGGAGCCCGAGGGGACAGCCCGGGCGGTGGCGGGGGCGGTGGGGGCGGCGGCGGAGGCGGCGGGGGTCCGGGGGCCCGGCAGGCCGCGTAGCGCTGCACGGTGCACGCCGCGCGCCGCCCGAAGCCCGCCTCTGGCTGGAAGCTGCTCTCTCGCCTCTGGCCGCCGGCGTAGTACCCAGGCGAGTGGTCGCTGGGTAGGTAATCGCTCTGTGAATATTCCTCGCAAGGAGGGAACTTGGGATCGACATAGTTTGAGTTGATCAAAAAAGAACTCATAGCCATTAATTTCTGGGAATTGCCCACAAAATATACTAAAATTTATTCCGACCCCTGACTCGTTTTCCTGTTTCCGAAAGCCCTCCTACTTACTGTCAAGTGAACAAAGTTAGGGGCCCACGTGATCCTCGGAGCCAATGGCCGCCCCGCCTGCGATTCCCGGATAAGGAAATCTGCTCACCCGGACCCTACTCCATCCAAAGAGCCTTATTTCCCCTTCTTCTCTTCCCCCTCCCCACCCACTCAGCACACACCAGGATTTACACAGAGCTCCTGCGGGGGGACCGGCTCCTCACCCGGCTCTCTCCGAGTTCAGAGAGAGAGAGAGAGAGAGAGAGGGAGCAGGTTGCCCCCGAGGGCCTGTTGGGGCGCGGGGCAGAGCGCCATCCCTGGATCCCCGCAGGAGTTGGAGCTGGTGACAGCCCCTCCTGTCCAGCCTCACCTCTGCCCAGCGTTCTTTGCCTTACAGAGGCCCCTATCCCCTCCTTGCTACTGGAGGGAGCCCCAGGCACCCGGCTCCCGCGTGGGGAGTTAAGGAAGGGGCGGACAGGAGCTCCGACTAGAGAGAGGGGAAACCACTCGGGGACGAGAGGCGCTGAGCGCGAGGCTTTTCTCTGCAGCCGTGTGGGGAGGAGAGTAACAGCAGCCTCCGGAGCAAGCAGGCGGGTGCACGGAGGGACTTGTCAGAGATGAATGGAAGCGCGGGCGGATCGATAGGAAATTCATGCACTAATTCGGGGAGACCTTGCCTTCCAAATCGCATTTAGCCGCGCTATTAGTTTGGCTGTGTCAGTCAGTCCGTCTGTTCCTTCTCCTGTCCACTCCTCCCCTTACACCACATGGCCCAAGCTGTAAGAAACGACTTGGTTTCCCTCACTGAATATGAGCACTGGAGTAAAAAAAAACCCTGAACTTTCTGAGCATATCGAGTATTAATCTGTTAATTCCACAACCGCCGAGACAATGCTAACCGCGGCATCCAGACGTTCTACTTGCCGCTAACGCAGCCGCTTCCGCAGCGAACAGAAATCTCACATCCTTGTGATGCTGGGGATGGGAGCCCTTGAGGTGACCCCACACACGCACCACCACCCATTGGCAATCGTGTATTTCCAGGGCACCTTATTCTGAACCCAAACAGAAAGGCGACCTCAGCATCCGTTTGAAAAGTTATTTTCCTTTGCCTTCGAACACTAAAGACAAGAGTTAATTTTTCCGGATTTTCAGTAAAGCCTCCCTGACCCCCAAGAATAGGGAATTGAGGGGGAGGATAAAATATAAACATCAACAACATTAACCTATTAAGTGAAGAAGGACCAAGGCTCCCGCGGGGGACAGGCATAGAGAGATTTCAGGTAGATGATGCCTCAATCTCTAACCAGTTGAGGGAGGAAAAAAAGAGAATAGAGAAAAAAGGAAGGAGTCTTCGCCTGGTCAGTCACCGGATGGTCCTCATTTAGAAAAAAAAATTTCTTCGGGAAAAAAGTAAGCGGAGTGTTTATGTCAACTACATATTCCCCTAGATACGAATTTGTGACCACAAAATTCCTTACACAAATTCGGATCTACAGGGTATATACAGAAGACAGACAGATCTTCTTGGCCCAGAAATTTTCCAGTTCTCCTACTTTCCGCACGTTCTTCGTTTGGGGTATGGTTTGAGTGCTTTGATTGTATTTCGTTTTGTTCTAGTTTTGAGCTCTGGGAGCAGGAAAAGGCACTGCGGGTCCATTCTTGCAATTACAAGGTTTTCAATTCTCTTTATCTTCTATTAGAAATAGTAGCAGCCGGTCCCGCAAAGGGACGCGAACCTCACCGCCGTGCCACTCTCCGCGGCGCATGAATTATGAGATGTAAACATTAGCTAAGCACAAAAGGAGGAAGGGTCATTCTGAGGCTGCCGCGAAGTCAGAATCAGGCCCTTCTGGGTGCCCTCTGCTCCTCCCCTCCCCCCAATACTTTTTTTTAAGTAAAACAAAACCCCAATCGGTGTCTCCGTACCACTCTCAGTCTTTAGTTTGTGATCAAACGAATATCTAGATATTTTCCAAGGCTCCTCTCAGCAAAGGGAGGGGGGATAGGCGGCTGGGTGTGAAGGGGGTGTCATAAAAGTCCTTTTGGAAAAATTCAATGGTAAAAAGAGAGAAACAGCTGTAAAGAAAAATGCTGGGAGACCAAGCAGATGGGGCCCCGGATATTTAATGACGGGCAATTCGGTTTACAACCTGAGAAAAAGATCAAAGACATTTCATTTCCGAATGAAGGGCAATAAGGAACCATAAAAAATGCAGCCAGATGATATTCTGGCCCCTCCCAGCCTCCCATACCTCCTGGGGCCAGAAAAGGGGGATAATCCCTGGAGTGTGAGGAGGAACACTATTTCCTGCACCTCCACAGCACCAGGCAGGCTTTCTCCCTCTAAACTTGCTCATTCATTCTGCCACCTGCTAGCTAGGAAGGCTGGCAGTGCGACCAAAATAGACATCTGGGAAACCCAGGGATCTGGGGTTCCAGAATGAACTTCCTGAGGCTCCCAGTAACCGCTGAATTTACTAAACTGGGAGACTGAGGATTGGACTGGAGGGAGCTGAGTTCCAGGCTGAATGGTGAAGGCCTCCTCAGTGTGACAGGAAACTAGCAGAGAGGAAGCCTCCACCCCACCCAAACTCCATACCCATTTCCTTAGGTCTGAGATATATTTGCATCTCTAGTGAGCAAGTCAGAGTAGCAATTTCATTCAGAAATACACCACCACCACCAAAAACAACCCGCTAACCACCACATTCCAGTAGTTTCTGCCTATCTCCAGTCCTGGGACCCTTGCAGGTGGGTAGGAGGAGAGGTCCCACCTGCCAGCAAACTAGGGCCAGAGACCCTCTGATTTTCTATACCAAATCTAGATCGACAATGTTGACCTCCAGGCCTGATTTCCAACACCAACACTCTCCCAGCCAGGCTGAATTTACTCATATTTGAAAAATCACACACATACAAACACAATTATATTATAGTTCTCCAAGACAGGGTTCAATAGGTAATTTCACACCCCTATCTGGACACCCAGGAAGATTGGAGTCTGGCCCTGGGCCCACAGACAATGTGCATGTGTAAAGACCCCCACCAGCGCCCCAGCATCAAGCAGGGACCCTTCCAAATCTTGTCAAAGGCCACTTATTCAGGGGCTCTATGACCCATTCCAACTGGCCAGGCCCCTCCCCCACCCCATACCTCCTGTCCTCAACTCGCTGGCTCTCTGAAACCCGTCCAACTCGTCGGCTTTTCCGAATTTTGGGAGGGCTGCTGCGCTGGTCACCCAGCCTCTCTGCTGCCCTACACTTCACAAGCAATCTAGCCCAGGTGCCCACAAGAGAGAGGGATGGGAGGCAGAGCCACTGCGGGGCTGGGTATGGTTGATCCTAGGGACACAGCGCGGAGTTTTTCTCTGCGCACTGGGAACCGCCACCTGCCCAGCCTAAGGAGGCACTGCACCAGCCATCCCAGCCGAATCCAGCCCTACGGGTGGAGGACAAGGTTTATCAGCTATTCCCAAGACCGGTTTCACCGGAGCAGGAGGCTCCCTCTCCCCTCATCCCCCAGACGAATTCCAACATCCATAGAAATAATAAAAATCGGAGAGAGCAAGGGCTCTAAAGCGCGCGCTCGGAGCCACCTCCCCTGCGCTCCCGGGTCGTTCACTGCCTCGCAGGCCGCCTTCTGCCACAGCCACAGGTTGCTAGAGTGACCTCTTGCTGTTCAGTCCCCCTTCGCCATCCCAGGCGTGCCCAGCCCGCCCGGAATCATCTACCTTTTGTTGGCGGAGAGGGAGAAAAACCGAAGGACCAAGCAGGGAGTCCATAGCCGGCCCGCGCGCGGGCAGCCGAGCGGCGGAGTGGAAGGCCCAGAGGGGGAACTGGCAAGATACTCACCCGCGGCTCCCCGCTCCCTCCCGACCGCCGACCCGCCCGCGGACCCGCTCGGCTACAGAAGAGCTCGCTCTTGTCCACTATTGTGTCCCGAAAAACCGAACCGCGGCCGCGGGCAAAGGAGCTACGGGCCCCCTTGGAGGCTGGAACAAGACTTTTTTTTGGTGTGTTTTTGTTTTTGAAGCCCAAGTTTTCGTATTAATCTCATACTTTGGCAGTCTTTGTTAAACATCTAGGCGCGTCACGAGGCTCTCAAACATTTTAATAATTTTTAGACGCCGTGACCTACAGTTCACCCCTCTCCAGGCCTCCCCCAAGAGCAGGCAGTTACTATAATATGTTGCGCAGTTTGCTTGGTCATATTGAATTTTGTGCAGGTCATTACTTGGGAGAAAAATGACAGAGCAGGAATTTGATTCAGCTCATCCTCTCCAGCTCACTTTTTGCCAGAACCCTCTTTTCTCTTCACCCAACCCCCTCTTCAAAAAAAGTACCATTCAGATAGCACTCAGCTCAGCCCCTCCTCTGCTTTAATATTCCATCTTTCCTATATATTTTTTGTCAGCTCTGGTTCCAGGAACAAAGAGGGAGAGGGTAGGCTTCCAAAGGGGTTCTCTTTGCTGCCTGTGAAGGGAGCTGGCACCTGTAGACAGGAATTGTGGCCCTCAGGACCTCAGTCCCAGAGAGCAGGCCTGAGCCAGAGCCCCTCTCCCTGTGTCCTTCTCTATAAATGGCTGTACTGGCAAAATGGTTGTGTTGACAGAGCCTGTGTTCTGACCCAATTGCAAGCTCCATCTGCTTTATTCTCCCTCCCGATGCCAGAAATCCCTCCATTTCTGCCATAATTCTGGAGGCTCCAGTGCCTCAGGAATGACCCCTCCACCTCCTGGGGCTGAGATCTGATCCACAGAGCAGTGTGTCTAGGAAAGACAGAGAGAGCCCTGAGAGAGGTGCTGTATTGCTTTGGTCAAAGCTGGAGATTTAGCTTTCGGAGGTGTGAACTCTCCTTTAAAAGTAAAATTATCCTCCACCCCATTTTTGGTTTAAATCACGTATCTATACAGTAACTCCTCTGTTTACCCCATCACTGCTACAAGGAGGTTCAGGAGCAAATCAAGCAGGCATTAAAGAGTGAGTTTTTTTGGTTTGTCCCTTCAGGATTAGAATCAGGTGGACTGCCAACAACACATTTCCCCCTTTCTCCAGCCTCCAAGGGACCAGCAGAAGTAGGTCAGGTGACTCTCCTGCCACCCAGTTCAAGTCTCAGGGGAGTGTCTGCAGACTGGAATCGCACTAGCACAGGGAGGTCGGGAGAGAGCATCCCAAGATACCCAGCTTGGCCTGGGATGGCAAAGACTCTCCTTCCCCATCCTGAGGTTCCTCCAGCCCAGGACCTTGGGCCGCCCCAGCCTATCCCACAGAACCTTCAATTTGCTAACATTCCATCCTTAAATAGAGGGAAAAGACCTGAGGAAGGACAGGAGAGAGATTCTTCAGTTTAGGCTTTGACCTCTACCCCTGGACCCCTAGAATTCCTTCCAGGCCTGACTCCCCAGAGAAATTTGCCTGAAGATTGAGTAGAAATGGAGACCCACACCCAGTTGGTTTAGTCAAAAACTGTGGTCAAATCATTTAAAATTTGACATTAAACTATTTGGCCATATTACAAAAGGCATCTTTACAAAAACTCTCAGGTTATCTCTATTCTGGCAGGACAAACACCCATGGCGCACCTCCTGTATTATGCATAGAAGATAATTTGATGACATCCCATAACACAACAGACATTTAAAGACCCAAAATAGGCATATGCCCTGGTGTTATAATTAGAGTCTTTCTAAGCATTTTACTTATGAGCTAAGCCTAATGCACGGATTCAAGGTTCATTTCAGGTCTCCTGCTTCAAGTCCAGTTAAAAAGATCTCTGTGAGGCCTTTAAGTATTTTTCCTTCTCATTTCCCCTCCCTCTTCTAAATAGGAAGAAAGGGATTCTGGATGAACATACAAGCGGAGTTTTGGGAGAGAGTGAGAGAATTGACAAGCTAACCTTCCTTCAGTATTCAAGTTCCTAACCCAAGCAACTGGAAAGAGGGGTGAGAGTTTAAAAACCCTCCAGTCTTATCCCATGGTCATGGGACCCAGCCTGGGGATTAGGAATCCCTGAAAAACAGGCCTGCCCTGTAGGGTGGAACTGGGGGGAGGACGTTGAATGAGCCAGCTGTTTGGCCCCTTTAGGGGAATTGGGATGGGGCTGATGTTGGTGAGAACCAGGTCTTTACCTTGGAAACCTTCTTTGGCCCCACCAAACGTCCTGCAAGGACATGTGGATAATTGGATTTTCCAAATGTGTGTGGCTGGGTAGGTTCTAATTACATTTTATATGGTGACTCAAAGGTCATCTTTGAGAGAGAACACTGTGCAGAGGATTTGCCATGCCCTGAGCGCTCTCTGTTGTGCAGACAACACCCCTCAACCACGCCATTTTTTGAGAAGAGGTTCTTCCTCAGTTTCTCCTTCCCCAGATATCCACCTCACCTCCTCCCCACCTCTGCACCCCCACCCCCAGCCCACAAGTCTTCCTTACCTTGAGCATCCCTTGCTTTCTCTCTTCTCCACACACACAAACCCCTCTCCCACCCCACTGCCTGCTCACGCATGGTAAACTTTTGACCCTCCAACTTCGTGACCCCTCTGGCAATAACACTGGCCTCACGGCCCAGGGTCTCATTCTGCCAGGCCTGCTGCTGCAGAAACCCAAGCACAAACTGCCTTCTTCCCTGCCCCTCCCGCCTTTGCC